GGATTCCCCAGGGAACCCTCTTGCTGTGAGGCGATGGTGCTAACCACCACACCACCGTTCCGCCTCTAATGGCCTTACATTTTAGAGTAATTAAAGTCCTTCTTTATCACCCAGAAACTGAGAACACAACTTCCACTGACAAGTTTGGACATGTCTAATCCATGTAGCCCTATGCTAATGAACAACATGTTATTTTCTGAAAGGTCCAACTCCATATTGCTCGATCGTAAGGTTCTTCAAAACACTCAGTCAGAGAGATTTCTGCTCCAGGGAGAGACTCTGAATACAGAGGAATGCTGGACACCTCTAGGTCATCTGTGGTACCATCCTCAATCGGGTTAACTGATATTTATTACTCGTTTTTACAGGGGTACTGTCGTTCTAAATAGAAAATAACCAGGTTCCAGTGGCTAAAAAGCGTTCTCCATTGTACAGAAATAGGTTGCTATCAGACCCTCTATTTGTGTCCTCACATGAGATTTATTTCATGCTAGATCAGGTCTTACAGCGAAAGCCTCTGAAAAGAATGCAGCTCCACCGCTTTTATTGAGATGGACTTTTCTTTTCTTTTTTTTTCTCACCACTCAACCATGATGCTTTGGTGTTACTGCCTCAGGCTGAAGCTCCTCCTTTGTCGACCACTCTTTATCCTCTTTTCTTCAAAGGACTGATTGCCCAACAAGATGTAAAAAGTTGGACTCAAAAGGGTTTTGGTAGTTATTTTAAGCTATAACAGTCACAGTAAAGACTTTTTGGGGGGGTTGGAGAAACATTATTTTGTAGTTTGAAAAAAGAAAGGCCTGTACTGCATCAGTTTTAGGGTGGTTTTGACATTTGTAGTCAAATAATTTACCTTGACCTTTTTTTTTTTACCAGTTACTCATCTTACACGTGTAAAATCTTACATCTTACATGTGTTACATCTTACATCTAAATTTAATTAAAATGACACTTCATACAAGCACATCTGTTTCTCCTCTTTACAGTCGATCACACACAGCTGTTAACCTACATCCAGTTGTTTTTTTTCTCTTGTTTTTCCTGGGAAAGAGACTTTGTTGGCTGTGACCTGCTTCTCCATGCACAGTTCACATGAATTCCAAACGAACGCTTAAAAACTGTGAGAAAGATCAAGTAGAAAAGGCCTGGGAGGCTACATCAGCAAACGTTACCTGTGACATAATCTGTCACGTGGTCATTGTGAAACTCACTGTACTGAGTCCTTATCGATATCATTGTATTAAGAAACAATAAACAAATAGATTATTTGATGTCGGCTGCACACTGAGAAAAATGTGGAGAGATGCATGCTTAGATTGCCTTACAGTGAAAAAGTTCAACACTTTTCTTATTGTTAGGGAGTTGAAGATTCTTCCTTTTGCGGTTTCAAAGACAAATAGAGCTTGTAGCCATTCTTGCTGACATTCACTCATAAAACTCCAAATTAGAGAGACTTCGACAGTGTTTCTGTGTAGAGCCATCAGCCTCCTACTTATTTACAGATTAAGGTTACATTTCTCAACGTGAAAGGGGACTGCGTTGAGTAAGAATAGTTTTCTGAGGTACATCTGATCCTTTTAAGTTATATTAATCATGGTGATGCGATGCTTTGTCACACAGGTTTCCTGACTATGGTCTTTACACACTACGATGTCCTGACTCTGCTCTAGCAGAGGTTCTTTCCAGTCTGGAATTGAGGAATCTTCCCTCGGAGCTGATCTTTATTAATCTGACCTTGTTACACAGAAATTATTGATCCATGGTTCAACCTTGCATGAAAAGACAAAGCCTTTGTAGGAGCCTCCCTTTTATACCCAATCTAGCCACCCTCACCAAATAATCTATGCTGCCTCTTCTTTATTTGGCTAAATGCCATTCCTTATTTCTCTATGTCATTCTTTCTTCTTTATTTCTTTGTTTCTTTATTTCTCTCTTTTAGCCAAACAGCAATGTTTTTCTTTAGTGTGTTTTTCTGCAATAGTTTTTTTTGTAATTTCGTCAGCGGTCATAAGTCTCTGTAGGGGGTCACTTCCAGAGAGCCATGTTCACTGAGGAGGCTAATGAACATCTATCATAAAAACACACTAATATAGTGTACCAGGAAATGCTTTTTCAATAGTTGTCCACTGTAGTCACCACTCTCTGAGCAAGGGATTCCAGACACCTGGTGGGTTTGAAGACTTCTTCTGTGAAGAGATTTCAGAGGCTCAATCTGGAATCTGTCGGAGCCACCCAGCCAAATTCTGGGTCACAGCCTCTAATCCTTCCAATGCCACTCGAAGCTCCCAAGTATTTTTCAAATCGTTCTCTCAGCCTTTTATACATATTCTTTTCATGATCCTGTTTTTTTTTTAAATACCAAAACAACGACTCATAGAACAACTGTGCTGTGGTCACTAAATGGAATTCTCCTTGTGGAGATAAAGGACATTTGTGCTTAGTTCAAATGTGTTGTGTACTTATGGGGATTTGATATGTTCAGAATAGTCCTTTTTGCTCCTAGTATTCTTGGAGTGCAAATAGTTTCTTTAGTTAAACAGTTATTTATCTGTGATGTCTGGAATTATTAAGGGAAAGGAGTCCCTTAAGTAATTGGGAGATTTATATTGTAATAGCAACATTCTGGGGAAAACAAACAGATATTTCAAGCAGAAAGGCTCTAATAGACACGCGATTGTAAGACCCGAAGGCACCTTTCCCAACGTTGATTAAATGTTGTGTTTGCGGCTTTTTCTCACTTATTTCAGTTACTGCTTGTTTTTTCCACAAACAAGTGCAGCTTTCGAGGTCACGCTGAGAAAATTTCATTTGTGACAGCAGACATGCCAAAGCTGGTGAGAGCCAGACACAACAATATGAAACTGTTTCGCAGGCTTTTCCCCAAAAGGACAAAACTGATCTTTATGTGTGAAATTGGTGAGAAGCCTCTTTAAAATCACACCTTCACTTGTAAATAACAGCAAGTGAGGTAGGAGGTGTTAAAGATGCTTACTTTGCTCTATAAATCGTTGAGTTTTTACTTCTTTACAAGTAAAGCAAAATTGTATTCTTTATCTTATTATATTTTCAAAAGATAGTGAGTGTTCTTAAAAAAAAAAAAAACATTTCCACAAAACTCTTAAATCATCTTTAACTATAGTGGTTAAATAATGGACCAATCACCTGACTGATGTTGACAATTTTCCAGCAATTCCTCAGTAATTTATGCACGTCCTTCTGTTCATGCTGTTAACACACATCCATTTAACTAAATGTATCTTGCAGAGACATGTCTCAGCATAACGCAAAACTCTGTTAATTTTTACTCGAAAACAAAATCTTAGTCAAAGCACATCATGTTGGCTTGCTCACACAGTAATTCAGTGGCACCACCTTGTGGTAAAGGAAATACTCACATGCTTGGATTTTCATTTAGATTTAAATGTCCCTCCTCCAGTTCAATAAAAAAGTCATAAACCTTTTTTTTTTTTGTTATTCAGCAGACCTTGGTGGGAATGTGACCTACCTTTACTTTTGATGTAATCTCATACACCTTATTTAAATGACTTTTTTCACCTTGGAAAGTCTTGCGTGACTGAGCATAGAAAAATGTTGCAGTCAGTCTGAGGGCATCAAAGAAAGAAATTGAGGTTAAACGTCTATCGTTTTATTTCACATTCCCATTCAGCCCACCCTCCGCCATTTATCTTATTACCTCAGAGCTGCTTAGACTCTATCGTGTCGTCCTGTGTTCTAACTTTTTCTGCTGTGTTTCATTATGGGTAACAGGGCTGGAATCCATATAAAAATAGTCTTAGTAGTAAAAAATAAGGCAAACGTTGCACAACATGGGCACAGAAAGGATTTAGATGTCCAGTTTTTAAAAGGTACTCATCAGGCACCACAACAAACTGGTTTATTTTCACATGTTGTAACACCAGTCTTACTCCCATTCAGCCATGATACTTAACTGCCAAAAGTCTCGAATAAATAAAATAGAGATGGAGTACATATTGCTTTCTGCACTGGTGATCCCATAAAGAGATTGAAAGCACAGCAGGGAGGGAGGGGGAGAGGGGGCAGGGAAACACAGTCCAGATTAAGGATGAGTGCTCATGCATTCATAAACAAATATTAAACATTGTACGCAGATCAATGCATGCATGAATCGCATAACAACAACCACCAATTATGGGATTACAGTAATGCTTTGCTGTTTATTACATCTCTGACAGGGGTCATTATATGTTTTCCATGCGGGTCAAAATATGTCATTACTACAGTCTCATTTCGCTTAAAAAATGAACAAAATATGGATCAAATATCAAACAAAAAAGGAAGTATTTTGATAATTAATGTTTCCTTTTCTTACTGTAATGAAATTCTGTGAGACAACTCGTACCTCTTTCTCAGATTATATTAAACTAGAACAAAATGGTACAGTCTACTTCAGCCTTGATTGAATACACAAAAACCAATAAGATTATGTGAATACATTTGACATGGGATGTCTGATAACGGAAAAACTAAATAAATAAAAGATTATCACAGGCTATGTGGCTACATTTTGTCGAGTCATGTCTTCGATGCATGATTCTAGGCAGTGGTGGGGCATTTCTGTCTCAAATGAACTTTTGCTTATCAAATTGTAGGCACGAGGCATTTTAGGCCTATGTTGAATATAAGAGTTCGTCGGAATAAACAGATCACGTGAAATTGCGGGGCTCGTGTGTGTTCTGTTTTGTGCACGGACTCTCCCTCCTCGCTCTCTCTCAGTTTGTCCATGTGACGGATTAGGATAAGGGATTAGAGACAGATGTAAACCAGAAGACAGGATCCAGTCCAATTCTGCCGCCACCCCATCACGACAACTGTCAAATCGCAGTTGGGGTCAAGACAAAGAAAACCCCGCCTTTACTTCCCGTAGAAATAATTTCCATTGGGCCACTTTTTGATTGACGTGTTTTTGTCCAATAGTAGCAGAGAACGGAGTCTGAGGGGAACCGCTGCGCAGATGTGAGCAAGGTAGACAGTAAAGCGGCACAGTGTGAGGCTAGCAACGCACTTAAGAGGGAGTCGAGAATTGCAGGGCCGATAAAAGTGAAAGGTGAGCTCTGCGCTATTTGACATTGCTGTTGAAATGCTTAGACAAAGTATTTAAAGAAAAGGGAAACGTAATTCAGCAATTATTTAGACCCTGCTACGAACTAGGTTGCGTCAGTCGCACCCATTCTCTTTTATGGAACTTTTAAATCCTCGCGGTTGTTCGTCATGTCATATTTCAATTAAGGTGTTTGTCTTTTTCGCCTGTATTCTGTATTGTACTTTCTTTTAACGTCTTTGAACACCTTAAACCCTCTTAGTCTTGTTGCATTCGTAACGAGCTCGTTTGGCCAGTTTTTTTTTGTTTTTTTTTTACGTCGACGACGACGTTTCGGTAATTTACAAGTCGCCACTTGCTCGTTTCCTCGTAAACTATAATCTATACGTATATTAGTTTTACTGTGTAGAAATGTTTAATTGTTCTTTCTGGCTCTATGTTGGGTTGCGTATCATTCTAAAACTTTCGGAGTCAGCTGTTTGACTCCTCAAAATGTCAGGAGAAATCTACTGTCGTCTCGTCCCCCTCGAGTTCTCTGAGACCGAAAAAACGCTCGGAGCTGCAGTATGTGTGTGTGTGTGTGTGTGTGTGTGTGTGGTTTTGGCCTGTAATGCACGAACTCCGATCCAGGATTACTGGACACACTGGCAAGAATTTGACAGCCGTGGCCTGCCAGTGTAGAGGTCATCTATTTGGCTCTGACGCTCATAATTTGCCCTTGTGTCAAGGTGCCCCCCCCCTCCCCTCCCTCCCCGTCCATATGACTCTTTCCTCGTCTGGTTAATCTGCAATCCCTCATCACTTCATACTAAGATTCGTGCTTGGAGCTAAAAGGTGCACTAACCATTTTGCAGTAACAATCCGTGTTGCTTCTTTTTTTTTGCCAGAGCAGCCAGCGGTCATATCTGCCCATCAAAGGAGAAATGATGGCCGCTGTGGACTAATAGAGAATGAGGAAGACTTTGCTCTTTGGTTGCTGACTTCCAGATTTATTGCGTTTTGAGGTTGCGGGCAGACAGCCGTCACCGGCGGTGGCAGACAGCCAGTGGAAGTTTACGTCTTATCTGTTGACGGATAACTCATCCAGGCTGTTTTGGTGCAAACAAACGGAAGAGCTTAAGGTGTATTCATTACAAAAAGAGAGTGTGTGTGTGCGTGTTGAACAGGGCAGTCGATACCTCCCCGCTGCTCGTTTGAAACTCAAGTATTAAACTCTAGTTTGAACGGGATTAATCAGTGACAAGTTTAAGCCTGTCGCAACCCTGAAGACTGGGAGTGTTGTCTAAGGTGGAAGAAAAATAAAAAAATGTGCTGGTGCAAAGGAGCTCTTTGCTTTGTGTCAGTTACACTAAACTTTCACTTTCAGTTTCATTCCAATGTAAATCCCCTCATGAAAAGTCACTCTTAACCCTATAAACCCTGATCCATGAAGAGATGGAGAGAAAATCTATATATTTTGTTTTTGAGTCTTTATTCGGCCCTTTAACAAAATATGAAAATAAATCAATTAAGATCATTTTTCTATATTCATCATTCATTACTGTGCGATACATCAAAGTTATTGTTGTGTAGTCTTTCGCTTGCTGTTATCAGGTATGTCTAATTGTGTACAACAGGGTATTGAGAACAGTTTTTACCATTAAATTATGTAATGGTATGTATAAAAAATTATGCATATGGAATTATTGGGTTAAGTTTGATTACTTTCAAGTCTCTCTATTGAGCAATATTTAAAATAAAGGTTTGAATTTTTTGTTTAGGAAAATGCAGATTTTAAATAATAGCAGGGACCCTTCCCTGTTATCAGGCTCTGTTTTAAAATTTCCATCCATTCTGTGGCGTTCCAGATGACTTACGTCAGCGACAAACTCTACAATGGATACTTGCGGCGGAACATGCCAACAATCGTCAGCAAGGTGAAAGTCCGAGAAATAGTTGTCCATCTGCCTTGCCTGACCAGCCATGACCTGGTAAGTTTCAGAAGGTGCTTGATCAAGGGCGAAAGAAATTGTGGATTATTTCATTTTTAAAGTATTTTTTTGTACTGGTTTTTAAAAACTAAGGGCTAAGAACGTTTTAGTCTGTCTGGCCTCTGTGCAGCCCGTCCCTCTGTAATCATAACTTTATGCCACATTTTAATGGCTGGAGCCAGCGTTTAGTTAGTTAGCAGAGGGAGAAAGAACTGGGTCTTAGTTTGGTTTTGTGTTTGAATCTGCACTGAAACTGCTTTGGTGGAAAAGCCCTTGCTGATCTGGTTTTTTTTGGGGTTTTTTCCCCCCACACATTGCTACGTCCGTGAAAATATTAGTTTGCCTTTGAACATTTGATTACTTATTGGCACCTTCTCCTATAAAACCTAAATAAATGTAATGTGGGGCTAAACTAATCACATTACCTCTGTGGCAGCTTATTGACAGTTTTAAGTAAAGTAAAAAAAAAAAAAAAAAATTGTTTTTTTGTTTTTAGGACAACATAGAGGCAAAGAGAGAAAGCTGTGGGAATTACGATGGCATGGTGCTTCTCCTGGATTGTCTAAAAAGAAGAGAAAATTGGCCGGAGCAGTTCATTGAGGCGCTGGAGGCGTGCGAGCAGACAACTCTTGCAGCTCAAATCCGAGCAGAATACAACGCTCTGAAAGGTGGTCGCAGTAAGTATGTTAAAAAAAGTTAAGAATTGTGTGAGGATTTGCGCAGGTTGCTGTGGTGAGGTGTCTGCACAGATTCAAGTCTCACCGCCGTTGGCTTTGTCCTAGATTCCAACCCTGGCTCTCCTGCAACGACTGTCACCAAGGCACATGTGCATCCGTCGCCAGCTGTCAGTCCCCTGTCTCCTCCGGAGGCCGGTGAACGCAGCCAGGCTGCCGTGGCTCCGCCAGCCCAACCCGCTGCAGCTCCCCCAGAGCCCGCTGCACAGGCACCGCCCTCCCCGGAAGCCCCCGCAAAGCAGCAGGCGCCTCAGAGCGCAGCGGACCAGGCTACTGCGGCCGTTCCCCCACCAGACCCTGCCCCTGAGCGTCCTCAGTCGGCTGAATTTGAAGTTCGGCCTCCTCCATCAACACCCCCTCCCTCCCCCGAGGTCCCCCGCGCTCAGGGGGCGGACGTCCCGCTGGCACAGGATGAGGCGGACGCTCACCAGGAGCCTGAGGAGAACACAGAATCTGCATTCCAAAACATTCCCGGCACCGCTGGTCTGAGCACAGGGAAGGAAGAGGTTGCCGGTCCCCGTGTGTCCACTCCTCCATCGGTCCCTCCCCAGACGGTAGCCACCACAAATGAAGGGCCCCAGCAAAGTCCTACGCAGATCACCTCTGATGCAACCGATGGAACTTCTTTACCCACGATGACCTCAGCAAAGTATCCAGTCCAGGACTCCTCTCCTCCAATCAGCCAGCTTCCAACTGCTGTCCTGTCTAAGCCTACACAGGTGATCGTCTACATCTGCTTATTAGAAATGTTAGTTATTATTTTTTAAAGAAAATGCTACTGCTCGAATATTAGTTTCATGTTTACTTGACCTTTTTTAACATCACAGTCACACATTGTGAATGAGAGAAAATTGTATTAAAGATGATTATTCAAATCTGTTTTAGCAGCTTGTTGAAAGCAGCCCCAATGGAGAACCTGATGCTCTACCCTCCAATGAGCCTCATGCTGATGGGACGGCTGCCTGTGCCGATGGTGATTATGAGGTCTGTCTAAGCAAGCCTGGCCAACTCGTCAGCATCCATCCACAAAACCACGCCAGCCCTGCTGTCCAGTCATCCAGCCCAGAGGCCGCGCCTTACTCTGGTAACAGCGACCGCTTGGAAATAAGCGAGGCCACACCCGACACGGTGATCTCCACCCACACTCCCGCATGCTCCGCTGCCAGCAGCGCCATCGAGAAACCGACCACGCCTCCACCATGCCAAGAGAACGGCATCGCTCCCGGTCACAACGAGCCGGAAGAGAACCAGTATGAGTCCCCAAATCAGAGCGTGGTCTACGAGGACGCGGTGCACGTGTCCGAAGAGCCGTCTATCCTCAACCTGAATGGGCGAAGCACACCACCCCATCTTCAGACGATCGACGGAGATAAGGCCAAAGAAACCGTCCCCGAATCATCCAATCACGCTGCTGACAATTCCATGTCCGGTGTACACGGCGAGAGCAACAGCACCCCCAAGCTTGCACCAACTGACGCCAATTCAGAGGAAACGGGACATTTCCAGACTGTCTTCACACAGTCGAATAAGACAAAGTTCATTCTGACAGCTGCGGGGGTGGGTGCCTGTGTCCTGCTAGTGGCATGGAGGTTAAAGAAGTAAGGGATTTGATTTAGGCTTTATAGACTGTGACTGAGCGTCTAAATAGTGGGTTGTGTTATCGCAGCTACTACACTGAAATGGCACTTGGTTTAAATTTTAGCCATCTCAGTCACAGATGACTTGCCAGAACTTTGATCATGACATTCAGTATGCATCTGTTTTTAAGGTTGATTGTTCCTACTTTTGAATGAATATGAATTTTGAACAAAAACCAAAAATTCGCTTGCGATCTTAGTAGAAGGGGAGGGCACTTCATGGAGTAGATTGAGATCTCAGGTTTATTTCTAACTTTGCCCCAAATGTAAGGGTTTTTATAAAGGTCTTCAGAAGCTGTGTAGCATTGGTTGTTTGAATGCTCTCTCGTCAGATAAGCAGGATAAGACTGTTAGCTGTTGCTCAGTGAGGTAAATGTTATAGGTACCTTAATTTAGTTGGATGTGGAGGGAGTAAAGGCACCTTATCACACCCTAAAGTTCTTATTCTTATTACACTGGGAAACAATGGACAATGCACTCAATATTTATTTGTACATAGACATACATATATCTATGTGTGTGTGTCTATATGTGTGTATATATACATATGTATACGTGTGTGTACATATGTTTGTTGTTATAATAGATGTGATATAAATGTTCCACCGTACTCCTGATATCTGACATATTGACCTGTCAGTGAATTTGCTAAAGAATATAAAAGTTAACTATGTTCAGTTAAAAAAACAAAACATCCATCATATTGACAGTGCAAACAAGCATCTGAGAAAGGAAATATGGCAACAGCCTTAGCTTATGTCTGAGCAGGAGAGCAATTTTATTAAATGTGCTGTTTCAATCATTTAAGCAGAAAACAATTGGGCTGAATCATTACTGATAAGGTACTGCATTGAATCTGACTTTGTCTATACAGAAATGTTCCACAATAGGCACATATGTCAAAGATAAATTGTATGCAAGTTCAATAAGGAGAAATCACTTTGAAGGATGAAAGTTGAATAGATGAATGATTGGAAGTTTAGATGTAGAAAGTGTAAAAAGACAGAAAAAAAGCAGGTTGAGTGAGAGTTTTTAAAAAATGCTTCAGATGGGTTTTTCTCAAAACGGAACAGGCAAAGAAGGCCATTGGAGTAAAGTAGAGAAGACAGAATTAAGGGATTATTTTTGAAAATAGAAGTAATCAAGCTAGTAAAGTGAAGGTTCTCCTTACTGAACTGACCCAATGTACTGTAAGGTAATTTTGCATTATGTTTTAACTGAAAATGTATGCACTGTTTTTAGCTATGCAATCCAACATCATGTAAATAAAAATTAGGAAAAGAAATTAATAACTTCAAAGATTTCCCTTTTGTTTTGGAGAACTCCAAATAAAGGACTGTTTGGACTCGTATTCAGACCATAAGTGTATATTAAATGACAAGCCACACCATTAAAACCTCTGAGAGGGGAGTGCTAAATGGATCACATTGCCTATTGGCTGCCTTTAACATTGCTACATGGGCAATTCACTAGAAAAATGGGAGAATACTGCAAATGAAATAAGGACTGCAAATATAAAATGAGTACAAAGGTCATGACCTCACTCATACATTTTAAAGTAGTTAAGTAATACAAATTTAATAAAGTGTTGAAAAGATTATAGGTATTTGATTACCTTAGCTGTATATGTGAATGTTTTCATCTTAATTTCTTTGGAACATTAATATGGTGCTGCGTTCAACTTAGTCGTATACACGTACTTCAATATTTGCATTGTGTTTCACATTGTTTTTGTTATGAGGCTTCCCATCCAAAATGAAATCAGCCACCTTTTGCTAACGGTCCTCTGACTGGTAAACTCGCCCTCTAATTGGATCGGGCTTCCTTCGATCACCTCTTAACCCCGCCCACATATGTCTTGACAGCGAACATAAAAAGGACATGTAGCTCAGCCATTAGAAACGGCACCGTTTCACAGCGAGCCACTAAATATGCGAGTGAACGCTCGCTTTGCCGTTTCCTCATAAAAACACTGGGCGGTAATGGTTTGATTTACCTTAGCGCACAACATATATGTAGTTAATTAGTCCATTTTAATGGCGTTTAATGGCCACCAACGCGACGGCGACACTGTCGACGAAGACGAAACGCCCTCAAAACAGCCGCGTTCCAACAAGGAGATGCCCGGTCATTTCAGAAACGACCCCAAAAATGAGGCTTCCGCTCCGGCTGGAAAGGCTACACCCGAGCGGCGGACGTCCAACTCGACGACGAGGCATCGGAAAGACTCGGTTAAGAAGACGAGGCCGCGTAGGTTTTTACTAACTCTAGCGTGGGCTTGGTATATTTACTGGGAAAGGGGGCTGCTGCATGTACACAAAACGCAAAGGCGTTCACGTTAAAGGGCAGTTGGTGCGAAAATTAGCTAAAGAGAAAAAAAATTCTGAATTGGTTGCGTATTTCTTAAAACAGGCAAACGCTTAATATTCGCGCAGGGGAATTATACGGCCGCCGAGAATCAATTGAGCGTTGGCGTCCAGTGTAATATCGATAAGCCGTAGCTGTAGTAAATAGCCAGAATCTATTTTGCAACAAGATGGCGTACGTGGTACACACTGTACTGCTTCAACGAATGAGCTGCTTACCACTGTGTGGGCCAGCGTTGAGACATCAGCTTTAATAGTTCCCATTGTTACAAAGCAATAGCACATGCACGGGTTTGGTAATATCATGCATTATCCTTTTTTTTCTGTGCTATGAGGAAATGTATGTATAGCTCTCTGTCTCTCTTATTTCACACATTGCAGCATTTCCTTGGTTTGGGATGGACATTGGAGGAACTCTGGTGAAGCTTGTGTACTTTGAGCCCAAAGACATCACCGCCGAGGAGGAGCAGGAAGAGGTGGAGAACCTGAAGAGCATCCGCCGCTATCTGACATCCAACACGGCTTATGGTAAAACCGGGATCCGGGATGTCCATCTGGAGCTGCAGGACCTGACGCTGTGCGGCAGGAAAGGCAACCTGCACTTCATCCGCTTCCCCACGCACGACCTCCCAGTTTTCTTGCAAATGGGACGCAACAAGCACTTCTCCAGCCTCCACACCACCCTGTGTGCCACCGGAGGGGGGGCGTACAAGTTTGAGTCTGATTTTCGGACGGTAGGCCTGCTGTTCTTCTTTCTGTCTTAAATTTTCTGTTCCTTTTTTGCTATTACAGGCTGTCAGGTAAAAAAAAAAAAAAAAAGAAAAAGATGGCAGTTAAATGTTTTAGGATATGTTGTATCAATACACAGATATTGAGCAGAAATAATTTTTCTAACCGTTTCTGTCTTCATTTGAGCAAACTGCCCTGATTATGATGCCATCTCTGTTTTCTCTCACCAAAACAAATAAAACAAAGATGGCGGACCTGCAGCTCCACAAGCTGGATGAGCTGGACTGTTTGATTCGGGGGGTGCTGTACATTGACTCGGTGGTGTCCAGCGGGCCCTCAGAGTGCTACTACTTTGAAAACCCAACAGACCCCGACCGCTGCGTTCAGAGGCCCTACACGCTTGAGAATCCTTATCCTCTGCTGCTGGTCAACATTGGCTCAGGGGTCAGTATCCTGGCCGTTTACTCGGAGAACAACTACAAGCGAGTCACTGGGACCAGGTAATAATGAGGAGTGGAAAATGTTAAGGTAGTAGCAAATGTATGAGTGTGGATGTTGTTGGGAAGAAAGCTGATTATATCTACATCTAGAACCCTGTATGGGAATATGTTGTTATCATACTTGCTATGTTAAAACCTGATCCGGTACATGCGTTCAAAGAATTTACTGCGAACATTATTATAAAACTCCCAACTTCTTTGAGTTAACCTTTTCAATTTTCAACAAAAAGATCAGACTTAAAAGAAAACTCGGTCGTTCAAGCTTTAAATGTTTTGATAATTGTCACCGTCTTGTCAGTGATCACGAATTTTGTTCAGTGAAAGTAGAAATTATGAGTTCCTGGCCTGAAGGCCAATCCATTAAGTTTGTTGAATTATCTGTTGATTGATCAGTATTGAAGGCGAAAAGACTACTTTTGGTAGGGGGGGGTTGGTTTGATCCCCAGTAAGAAAGTTGAATTTGTGCACACACAACCCCACTGAGACACAGTTGAGGGGTGAAATTGCCCTTTAATATAAGGATCAGCAGGAGTTCATTTATCCTTATTTTCACATCCATATTTGCACATACAAACTTTTTTCCGTTTTTTAATATCTGTTTACATTTACATTACATTTTTTTTCATTCCCTTTTGAAGACACTTCTCAGTGTACGCTGATAACCAGCTGTTGAAAGGCAATCGAGCAAATTGTGTATTATAAAAACTGCGTATTCGAAATTTCAATGTTAGTGCTACTGTTCCAAATTACTGTAATACCAAACAAATAGCATATATTGACAGAAAACACATTCTCTGCTTTCTGGTAAGCATTGGAATTTTTCAGATTAAGCATACTATGATCATACTCAGGGAAATAAAGGGTCAATGTTCACGATCATTGAGGCGCTTTTCTATTTGGCTTAAATTCCACAAGTTGAAAACTCAAACTCTCCAGTCGTTCCTTAGTCGCTCGTGTCTGACATTGCGTGTCGTCGACAGCCTCGGTGGCGGGACCTTCCTCGGCCTGTGCTGCCTGCTTACTGGCTGCTCTACTTTCGAGGAAGCCCTAGAAATGGCTTCTCAGGGGGAGAGCACCCGCGTGGACAAGCTGGTTCGGGACATCTACGGAGGAGACTATGAGAGGTTTGGGCTGCCGGGCTGGGCTGTGGCCTCAAGGTGCGGTTTACAGCTGTGTCTCTAACCTTGCTGTCGGTCACAAGCCTGTTTGAGATGGGTTCCCGCTTAAACGGCTTCAGTTAAAACGCCGAAGCAGAACGCTTTCATTGACACAATTTTTCATCTGTGAACACACTTCTGACCACAGCATAGAGAGATTTACAGCTGTTGTGTGATCAAATAAGGCTGGCTGCCCCGTGTGCCGTTCCCGGGACTCTAAACGTCTTCTAATTCGGCAGTTTTGGCAACATGATGTCGAAGGAGAAGAGGGAGTCCGTGTCTAAAGAGGACCTTGCCAGGGCAACGCTGGTCACCATCACCAACAACATCGGCTCCATCACCAGAATGTGCGCTCTCAACGAGGTCAGTAACACGGGTGTGCCAAGGGGCACCCGGATTTGGAGGATTTCTTTTTACCAGCCGACGTGCTGGGATGAGAGATCTGTGCCGCTGCTTAGTTTTCTCTTCGCGTTCAGCCTCTTTACGGTGCTGCCTTGTGGCGTCTTGATCAAGCAGCATTGTACAGGGCTATGAAGGCGTAGAGGAGGTAAACTGCACATCCACCGGGGTTCCGTTATTGTTTTTTTTACTCTGTCCAGCTGTTTAATTTCAACAGTGATGTTAAAAAAAAACGTAAAAAATATGTTAATTGTCACTGTTGTTTGATGCCGGTATAGTTTTGTGATGCTGAAACTATTTCTGGTCATGTCCTTGTTTTTATTCTAGTTTTCACTTTGTTTGTGCTTAGAACATTGAGAGAGTGGTGTTTGTTGGGAACTTCTTAAGAGTGAACACCCTGTCCATGAAGCTGTTGGCCTACGCCATGGAGTACTGGTCCAAAGGGCAGCTCAAAGCTCTGTTCCTCCGTCATGAGGTCAGTTGTTCGATGCAGCCACAAATGCGGAGTCTTGCCTCGACGGGCTCAGTTATTTCTAACATTCTCCTCTCGTGATTTTGGTTTTTAGGGCTACTTCGGTGCAGTCGGAGCCCTGTTGGAGCTTCTGCATCCATCTTAATCCACCACAGCTCCAGCCGAAGAAGCATCTGTCAATCTGCTGCAAAGACCAGAAGCACTTTACACTGTTGGCAATCATTTTGAGGGTGGCACGTTGTTAAAACCACTAGCATGTTACTGGTAAATCGTAGATGTAGTAGGCACATATAAAGTCCTGGTGTTTGGTTTGTAAATTGGTAGTGGCCACCTCCATAAGTTTTCTGAAGAGCTGCATTTATGGTTAGCTGATGAAAGGCGCTGCTCTGTCTGAGGTAATTTGCAGTAAACCAGACAAAGTTAGGGTTTGCAGGAACGGGTATATTTTGTCCAAAACATCTTAAGGAAACGCCAAGGTTGCCTGAAATACTTTACTTATAAAGTAGTCGTCAGGTAGTCCTCTTGGAAGTCATTACCCCACTGTGGGTATGAGGTTATGGGCCAAATGTTGTTTAAAATACTTGTGTTTACTTAACCAACCCTTGGTATGAAGATGGAAAGGATTTTATTTTAATAGAACATAACATGCAGACGGAGGGACTATTGTACGATTGAAACCTTAAATGATTGCTTTTTTTTTATTGATTAATCTAATGATGATTAGGAGTTTGAGCACTAGGTAGGTCCTAAAGGATACTAGCTGTGTCGTGATATGTAATGTCATTCATTCTAATTTAAAGTGCTCACCTGTGGGCCGAAGGCACTTCTTTTAAAATACTCTTTCAGTCTTAATTGTGAGCAATCTGTTTCAACATTGGTTGGGAGTTGCTAATGCTATCTTAATATTGGCAGCAAGTATTTACCAATATTTTTTATACTTTGATCGAGGCGATAACTGCATTGTCTCACGTGAACTTCCAATTCTTCTGAAGTGTTTAAACCCAGTTACTGTTTCCTGAGAAGCTCACCTATTGAAGTGTCCCAAAGGCAGTCATTCTACTCCTAAAGCCTGGCATGATGATTAAGCAGACATTGAGCGTGTACAACAGAAAAGCTAGGCCCTATGGCACTATATTTTATTACTCAGCGTTTTCCTCCAATGGAGGGTTAAAATGTGTAAACCAAATCAGTTCTGTTTATGGTCAGTATGTAATCTTGATACCGATAGCTTTCTCATTAGCTTCTGTATAGCTCATCAATCCTAGTTTAGTGTAATCCCGTCTATGTTCAGTCTATTGAGGATTACAGGGACCAGGACATTATAAACACGTTAAATGACTTGAGTAAATGGTTAGTAATTGTTTACTAATGGATATACTGTACCTGTAAACTGAAAAGTGCCTGTCATGGTTTATGTAGAATGCAGCCTGAGTTTTAAAATGAGTCCAAATTAATTTTCCATGTTTCTTCTGTCGGCTTGCGCATTGCATAGGAAACTTTCTACTTGTTAATGTAATATTTCTTATTGAATCCCCCTTTTTAAATATAATCTTACAAAATTTCCCCCCTTTATTGTGTTTTATGTTTTCAGAATGTGTAGAGAACAGGAAATACATTTGGGAACATGTCGGACGGATGTAGCTATGCTAGCCAAATTGCTATGCTAATAGACCATTTCTGACCTATAAATTAAGACTGCGCAACTATTTCTACTACCAATGTGAAGATACTTTATTAATGACAGGTGTGAAGAAAGGTATTTCACGCTTTAAAATGATTTATTTAGTTTTTTGTGGCGAAGTGCCACATTTTAAACGCGAACCATCCCCAACCAGTTAACTGCCTTTCATGTCGTGATAAAACCTATTGGAAGTTTGATAAAGCTGGTTCGAGTCGTGACATTGGAAAAAGAAACGTCTCCGTCTAAAGCAGAAATTTATTGGCCAGTAAATTAAACGTATTCAAATAAAATACACATGCAAGTCATACATGTCAAGCGGGTGTCCACTTCAACTGACATAACTAATATGGCTTCATACTAAAAACGCATAAACGGATTTTTATTTAATGTTGTTTAATGATATGTTACAGAGTTACATTGGTTTAAACAGAGGGATAGGAATTTTGTTTTTATTACAAATTTGAGCCTCGTGACTATAGACTTAATGAGTGGGCCCAGGCTTCTCCCTGAACGGTGGATGACTGGAGGTGAAGCGGAGCGGCGTCGGGATGAAAACCGTCTGGAAGCGCCGCAGCTGGGAAAACTCTCTGCGTACACGTGTGCTTCCGCGGGCACGTAGGCTGCCTGTGGAATAAGAGTAAGTCACGTTTCCTTTTTAGCGTTTCATAAGTCAAGAGAGACTGTTACGGAACCATCCATGAAAAGGGTCAGTGTCTTTCCAGGGAATAAATCCAGCCCCTTCTTCTGCCTCCACCTCCTCCTCGGAGAAAGCTGCACAGCTGGCAATTTACAGGCATTAAAACGCCGCGAGGAACAATTAGCCGCTGGCTCGCCGTGTCCGCAAATTGGGCCCGAATTTGCAGAGTTTCGCGAGTTAGACGAAAACGGGGTATTGTTCCCTCTGTTTTCCAAAGAGAGGGAAGTTCTGTTTATTACCTTCCAAATTCCGAAGTTTAAAAGCCAGCTCCCTTACTCTCCACTGGAACCGTTACAACCTCCTCACACTGGGATTATAAGGTAAGGAGAGGGGGGTGTATGGATGGTTTGCATCGCGCAGAATTAGAATAGAGAACATGTATGTGTCTAAAACTGCTTGTCCAGATGTGCCAAACTTTCTTTGTCGCAAATTAAGTTAGTAAAACTATACGAACCACGAAGGGGGAAAAGAAACAAGCCTGATGTAGATCTCAAACGGCGTTATTGGTTCTAGAAATGCATCATTTGCATCGCGCAGAATTAGAATAGAGAACATGTATGTGTCTAAAACTGCTTGTCCAGATGTGCAAAAACTTTCTTTGTCGCAAATGAAGTTTGTAAAACTATACGAACCACGAAGGGGGGAAAGCAACAAGCCTGGTGTAGATCTCAAACGGCGTTATTGGTTCTAGAAATGCATCATTTCGCAACTGAAAACTCAATGATGCGTTTTAGCCTGCAGAATTATGTGTTGGAAACATTCTGATCAAAACCGGCCATTTAATCCCAGCATGCATGTGATACTGGATAGATCCCCTTGACAGAAGTGATCCAACTTGCTCTGATGAATTGTTTAAATATTGCTCAAAGTTGCTTTAAAAAGTTCAATGTGTGGGGTTTCCTGTTGTCTTAAAGAGTTTAGTTTTTTTTTTTTTTAAAGATCTTTACAACACCACATAGCAACCGCTGAGAGTTTTCAATTCTCAGGGAGCAGTTTTGTGAATTAACATCTGGATTGTGGATTTAAACCAGAGAGCCCACGCACTCAGCTTCCATTTTACAGTTTTCTATTAATGTCTAAACTCTTCCGCCGCCCTCTCAGTAAACCCTGTGTTGAGTCTTTTTTTTTTTTTTTTTTTTTCAGTTTTATGGGGATAAACTTTCGGCGAGTTCCTCTGAGGTCAACAGCATTTTTGTTTTCATGTGGAGGCTTCCGTATGCGGGCGCTCTGGGCTGTGCTTATCAAGGGATTGTCTGCCTGGTGGGTTTAAGCCTCTCCCAGGACAATGGTTTGGAGATTCGAGGGTCTGGTTTTTGGTGAGAGAGGAAGAGAGAGGTGTATCTAAGAGAGGACTGGTTCAAAAGAGGTTTAGACTGGCTGGAAGTTACTGTTGGCTCCTTATTAAACTCAGACAAAGGCCAGTATTTGGCCACTAATATCTAAGGATATCAATTGTCCATCATATCCACATATAACACAATACATTAGTTATATAAAGATCTAATTTGTTCACTTTTGGTGGAGAAGTCATACACATACCTCCTACCCGGCTTGGCAAACAGATTTATTGGAAGCAACCCACCTTATTTAATGATTTAAGGAAGAAATGAACAATAAATCTGTTAACGATTTAGCTGTGTTGCCTTATCTTTGTGTGGCCTTCTGCTATGAACCAAAAAAAAAACAACAGCTGAAAATGGGACTTAACAAACAAATCTTCAATGAAAATTCTGAGATCATGGTCAGCCTGGTGGCTGAAAGTCTTATCAAGTCTCTTTTGCTAACCCTGCCTCGGACATTGCGCGAATGAGTTCAGCCCACAGCTCCTGCTGCCAGTAAGCTCTTTGAAATGGAATGCAGTTATTTTCCAGCATAGTTACAGGTGGAGGAAGCCTCCTTAGCAACTCGGGAGGAGGAGCAGGACGATATCTAAGGGAGTGATAGATGACCAGGTCAGTTGTATCAGTTGATTCGAGGGAAAGGTTGATAACCGAACGTCACTTTGTAGTCATCTAAAGCAGATCAAGTGAATTGGTATCAATTGTAAGTCTCTATATTTACCTCTATATAGGTAGGCGCCTTCACACACAAGGGCTTAACAGTCAGCTCCTGCTGACTGAAATTGCCCTCTGAGGATTCCAACCATATTTTGGAAAGGACAACTTTGAATTTGTGGTTTCTGTACAAACACAAAACACTAATGCATTTATGTCTCTCAAAGGAACAACCCGCCCACTCGCTCTCCAGCTTAGAGGTAATCAATAGTGGGCCTATGTGGTGTCCAGCCAGACACCACTCTGCAGACTTTACAGGGGAAAAATGACCGGGAAATAGGGTGCTTTTTGTTTATTAGATATAAGAAGGGGAAAAACAGCTTAAAACGGCCGTGAAAGAACTGTTTAAACCATTCATTCTGATTGTTTGTTTCCTGTAAATGAGTCTGAGCGTGCAGCCACTGAGGCCTTCATATTTAGAATTCTTCAACTTACCCCTCTGGAATGACATGGACGCTGAGCAGATGGTTTAAATTAAACTGCCAAAGGAACCCCACACCCTTCCATCATCTCACTCCCATGTGCAGACCTTACTTTTGGTTTAGATGGAACCTTACATTTACATTCTGGCCAAAAGTATTTGGCATATACATTTATCGCAAGGTTTTGTATGGTTGAAAACAAAAACGGGATAAAATGATTTTTTATATGAGCTTTAGTGTGGAGCCATGATGGAGTAGTAATGTCATAAGAGATACTTTTGTGGTTTGAAAAATCAATCATTGTAAAAAAAATCGAATTAATTAATTAATTAGAATTAATTTCTGAGAGACCCTTTTTCCCCCTCCAGTCCTGTTTTTATACCAAGTCCTGCCACTGACCTTTTACCATTTGACCTAAGTAGTTGAAACATGTTCTTCCAGGTGTTATTTTTTCAGGAACATACTTTGGCAGCCTTTTATTGCCCAATCGATTTCTGCCATGAAACACCAGAATAAATAGTTTTCTTTAAAAAAAATAAATGTAATCAATTCTAGCATGCATGTGTTGCTTTTGGGATTCTAATTAAGTTTTTCTCTGCTTCCCAGCTATTGCTGGGGTGTCATAATATAAAGCGCCAGGTTGTGTGTTGAAAGGATTCTGACAACGAAAAAAGAAATTAAAAACGTATTTAAATGAGGCATTGACATCGTTTCTTTTTCTTTATTTTCAGCTGAAATAATGGAGAGATCAAGACGGGGGCGACGGTTTGCTCTTGGCCTTCTGTTTGGGTTGTGGGTGACTTGTTGTGTAGCCCAGACCACACCGCCAAACCGAGTCTCCCCGGCCCCCTCCCCATCCCCCCGGGCTCCCCAGCTGAGGGTCCGACTGGCCGGATATCCCAGGAAGCACAACGAGGGGAGGATAGAGCTCTTCCACAAGGGAGAGTGGGGCACCGTCTGCGACGACGACTTCTCCATCGCCAACGCCCACGTGCTCTGCCGCCAGCTGGGCTTCGTGGAGGCCACCGGCTGGACCCACAGCGCCAAATACGGCAAAGGCCAAGGTACAGAGAGGCCTCGGCTTCTCACCGAAGTACCTTCATCCAGATGTTCTGGATTGAGCTTTATCACTTTAAACAGACAAATTCGCATTTCTGTGCGAAGCACGGCCCATTATAGTATCATTATTTCCAATCTCATAAAGTCTGTAAAGTTGATTCTCCCACCAGTGAGAAAAGGCATTGATAGAGAATAACTCCTGTTAAATAAACAGGAAATAAATACTCCCAGGAAATAAAATTAAAAAATACTTCCCTCCACTTAAAGGGGAAGTATTTCGCGAAACACAAATTAACAAATTCGAGATTTAAGATTCAAAAAGCTCTAGGGAAATTGCTGTGCAACGCTTGTGACACAAGGTGAAAATAAATACAACTGAAGTAGTTGACAGTTGTTTAAAGAGAACAGTGACGAATTATTGCTGCATAAAACACAAAAAATGACTAATAAACAGATAAATTAAGTGACAAGTGTTGTGGTTCAGGACACAGTATCTGGTCAGTATCTAGACACACAAACACATTTTTAGGGTGCCAACATCTGTAGGGTCCTTTCTGTAAATTGAGAACTCAAATGAGAATTATCATCAATACTCATTCCACATAGACTGGAGCGTGCTTGCCTTTTTTAAGCGTCCGAGCAGCTTTTTTTAGACCCGGGCGAAAGCAAGAGGCACCAGCACACGGGTGTCCCCCCCCACGGCCCGATCGCTGACCCCCAGGCCCCGCCGGAATGGGCCGTGGCCTCACTGACCGCCCGTCTGCTTTCCGTGCAGGAAAAATCTGGCTGGACAACGTCTTGTGCAACGGTGGAGAGAGGAGCATAGACTCCTGCAAGTCCCGCGGCTGGGGCAACAGCGACTGCACTCACGACGAGGACGCCGGGGTCGTGTGCAAAGACGAGAGGATCCCCGGCTTTGTGGACTCGAACGTCATCGACGTAAGTTCCCTAAAATGCAACCCGCCTCCCATTCGTGGGATATTGTCTGGGGCCGAGCAGTAAGGGCAAATTTTTACAATTTTTTTCCCCCCAAAAAATATCAACAAAAATCAAACCACTCAAAATTCAGAAAAATGGGCCTAAAAGAAAATACCAACCAAGACAAACCCTGTTAAAGGACAACAAACAAGAAAAATGAACACGCAGGGGCATTTTTACACGCAGGCTAGCCTACAGGAGACAAGGAACTACTTCAACCTACAAATTATAACTACAACACAAACATAAAACGAAGACATCTTAACATCAACATCTCTTTTAAACAGAGTAGCTTTAAGAGTTTGCCAGCTTCTCCAGAGTCAAGCCCCCCCCGCCCCCCCCCCATTTCCAGCCACCTGATGGATTCCTCCGCTCCCTGGTTTTGGAACCTATTTGCTCTCCCCAGCCCGTTCCTTCCACCTCAGCAAAAATAAATAGACAGTTAATAATCTGCACAGACATAGAGTGTCTACTAAAACAATAATACCCCCAAAAAAGAGTGCAATCACGAAAGAAACATTAGTAATACAGACACTCTGAAATAGCTGGAGGAACTTCCACCGACGTTCTTACCGTGTTGTTCAGGCAGCATAAGGGGAACATCGAGGCTCCGCCCGCGGCCGGCCGCACGTGGTTCCGATCAGCTCTGTGCTTTGGCCACGCGTCTGGATTTGTTCAAAGCAGTAGTTGGAACCGCACCGCCCCAAAGTGATGTGGTGCGTCGACGGCCGTCCAGATGAAGCTCGCAGTCTTCTCGGAGCAGATGACTTGTTATTTATTTACAGAATCAGGGTCGCTCTAACTGACAGAGGCAAAAAAATATGATCCCATGCTAAATATAGTGTAACAAGAACTAACCTGGTGCCTCTCCCCATCAAAACCTAGTTAAAGGTTTTAGATAGACATGTGTCAGAACCAGTGTTATGGAAATATTAGCTTCTGAAATTTATAACATGATGTATCTAGAAATGTAACAGTATTCCTTTTCCCATGAATAGATGTGTAAACTCTTAAGTCGATTTTTAGCAGGATTCTGGCTATGAAGTGCCCATTTTCTGATTTGTGTTGATGACAAAGTAGTCCAAGGTGTCCTAGGTTCGACTGGTGTTTTACGTCCACAGACCTCTGTCTTCGTTTAACACCATTGTATAAAAAAGGTTTCATAAGACCCTGTGGGTGGATTTTTTTAACCGGCACAACTTTCTGTCTGTAGCTGTTAAGCAGCAGTCAAATGTGGCGGCCAGACTTTCATCTCCAACCGCAGCCAGCCTTTTTTTTTTTCCCTTTTCCAAATAAACCATTCCGGAAGTGAGTCATTGCAAAGCGGGAATTACAGATAATAACGTGTTGCACCATTAGATTAAATGGCACAACAGTTTCTCCACCTCGTGGAATTCATCCCGTGTGGAATGAGTTTTTTGTTTGTTTATTTAAAAAGCACAACTAGTAATCAATCCTTTCACAGCCAAAGTGACTTGTAGCTTTCTGTCCCGCCAGGCGCAAGTGGACGAGAACAAACTGGAGGAGGTGCGGCTGCGGCCCGTGGTGGCCACGGCCAAGAAGAAGCTGCCCGTCACGGAGGGGGTGGTGGAGGTGAAATACAAAGACGGCTGGGCTCAGATCTGCGACCTCGGCTGGACCATCAAAAACACGCGCGTGGTCTGCGGCATGCTGGGATTCCCACACGAGAGGAAGGTCAACAAGAGCTTTTACAGGTGAGTTCTGACGTGGTTTTGGGAGGCCGGAGCTGCGGCCCACTGCTTTTAACCCAGGCGGGAGAGACTAGATAGAAGCTTTGGACCTCAAAGGCGTGTCAATTTTCATGAACGGAAAATGAACGCTTGTCTACTTTATGCTCTGTGACGAGCAAAAGAGCCTTTTCTTTGAAGCTTGGATTCCCCTCGAAAGTTTTTATGAATGACTTCCTTCTGAAAGTAGTATCTGACACAAGAGTGAAAAAAATCCCTTTCAGACGCCTACCCCTGAGGCACAGCCAATACAGCCCGACTACAGACACCCAGACTTGTTTGTCTTTTGTTTTTTTTCATTAAATGCCCCCCTTTAATTACATCCAACCGCTGGAACGTTGGCCGCCTTTCAGCCCCCTTCACCTGGGGGTCCTTTCAGTCTCTTGTCTCGGACATTCCCCGCGGTTTCAGCCCAAGAGGGTAGGAGGCGACACAAGAAGGATCTCCAGCTTTTGTCCGCCGAAGGAAACGTTTTGAGAAAGGGAGGGAACGTGTGCAGGCTCTATTGGGCCATCGTCCATAAGTCAGAAATCTCCACATTTTTCCCATGATTGGTATTCATTACTTTGGCTCATTGACAGAGGAATTAAGCAACAGTTACAGAAAGCCCTTTTTTTTTTAAAGTTGCTGTAAATCGTGAGACGTTTGTGGCTTTTCAGCTTGCTGAGGTTAGGTTTTGTGATTTGAACATTGTAAAACGTCAACGCTTTCACACTTTATTCAGGTTTTAAAGGTGTTCAGGTCTTAAAACTAAGCGGATATGGCGACTGTTTAAGAAAGCTAAGACCTATTCACAGATCTTTTTTTTTTTTCGTGCTGCGTTAATGTGGATGAGATTCCATTTCCACATGCCCTCTCTCGGTTTGCGCGGCCAGCACGAGCGGACAAGCTCCTGGCTGCTGTCCAGCTCGGGCCATTTTTACGCATCCCCTACAGATGATTCACAGTAGCATGAGGGGAGTTGTGTGTTTTCTCCCAGGCATGTGTGAGGCTCATGGGAACGGTCTGGGGTTAGAGGAATCGGTCTCTGGAGGAGGTCAGAGGCTGAGAATAGCCACCGCCGAGCCACATGCTGAACGGCCAGACCAGCGCTGTTATTGTGACCGAGCTTTGGTGACCTGGAGTCTGAGATGTGACATATCGGAGGCCAGTGGAATGTCAGAAATGTCATTCACCGCTGACCCCTTGTCGCCCAGGGACGGAGTGTGCACAAGCTTGCCGGTGCTAGTGTGTGTTTGCATGTAGTTTCTCTCCTGTATGTGATGGAATTTGACTGTCTCACCGTTGCAGACGTCTGAAAAAGCGAGCGGCAGAGCGGGCCTCCACTCCAAAGGTTAATGTTTCAGCCGGGGGAAGGTACACTTTCCCAGGAAAACCCACCGTCCACTCGCGTCAAACTTCTGCCTACTGCAGTGTTGACAGTGGGTTTCCTGCCGGAGCCGAAAATAAGAACATAGCTCCCATTTTTAGCTAGTTTTGTAGTTTCTTTCTTAGTGATCTGTTATTATCATGAGCGGCATGTGAACGGGTTGTAACTCAAAGCTGCCACATGTGCTGGTTCTTTTTCACCCCTCCTTCTAACAATTTTACTGTCATGGCACAGACTGAGACTGAAACCCAATCAGGAACATGCTTATTACATTAAACTTAGTACTGTTGATTACATGCTTATCACCCTCAACTGTCACTTAAATGACTGGAAGATTGTAAGGGTTTTTTCTAGGAGTGTGATTTCTCTCCAAAAAATGAAAATTCCAGTTTATTTGTTGTTGTTTTTTAAGCATCGATGAGTCTTTTTGGGTGGACAGTTCTCAATCTGTGCTCCATCAGCTGCAGGTGGACTAATATTTTTCATTATTCTCCTTTTAGTCTGTAAGTCTCTCTCATTGCTATGGCTGTCTTTTTTTTGGAGGAGGTTTAGAAACTTGAACTGAAAGTGTCAGTCTCCCAGAAAATTTAATCAATTAAAATATCAAATTCCCCGAGGCAGCTATTTACAGGCCTACCATTCAGGCCTTTTCACCCTTCAGATGATAAAGCTTAAAATATTCATTTTAGAAAAGGTGATCGCTTTAATAGGCATGCTTAATGCACCTTTGACGAAAGGCTGACTTAAAAGCATGAATAAGTCAACGATAAAAGCAATGATAATAATGATAATAATTAACCATTGTTATGTTTCGTTATAAGAAAAGAAAACAATTACTTCAGTCATTGTTTAAAAGATAATGATTTTGACATCATTTACAGCTTCCTCCGGATTTGTTGAGGTTTTTCTATTAGTTTTTTTGTTGCCAATTTACAGATTCCACAGCTGACCCTGACCACATAAAACTACCGGTCAAGGGAGGGGGTCACTTTTTTTGTTGTGAATCAGGTCCAGCCCGCACCTCCGCCAAAAAGCAGCGTCATACAATGTCAAAGTGCCAAATGTGGTAGCTTCACGTTCACACTGACACTAAATTGTAACCAGAATCAGAATAGGCCGCTATGTACTAACGACAATAACCATTTCTGACTGTGTTTTACTCACTAGTTGGCCAAAAGTATGTGGCTCCCAAACTGTGCTGCCATTAGTTCCACATCAGCTACAGCCGTCCACATACTTTTATCATCTAATGCTGTTTGAATTTGAAAGACAGGGTCGGTGAATCTCTATTAAATCGCTTTATTTGTGTTTACTTCTGTGCATTAAAGATGGATGTGTCTGGCTCATCTAACCTGTGTGGCTTCAATAGCTAACGCATAAACCTTTTCAGAATCACCACTTTTCAGAGAAGTGTAGCGGCGAATGTGCGTTAAAGCGCCTGTGCCTGTTGGGACAGATGTCGGGCAGCTGCTTTGGTTTCGACACATCCTTTTAAACATTGTAACCGCAGTTTAAACATAATTGTGCAGCCTGGAACCTTTGTTCCCACGAGTTTGTCACTTTGTCACCTCTTTTTCTTCTCCTAACTGTGCCGTCTAACCCGTGTTTACCATTGCAGGCAGCCATCCAAAGCTAAAGCTAGCTCTAAGTCTAAACAGAGCAGCCCTGGCAAAAGGTAATGTGACCATAAACACTCCCGTGGGTGCGTTCAGACTGCCTGGAGAGGCCCACAATTATGCTGCTTCCACACACCTGACAAACATTGTGTATTTTTAAACTGCTAACGTTAAGAAGGCTTACTGTAGAAATATGTTAAGCACAAAAAAAACAGAAAAAAAGAGGATGCAAATGTCTGAAGCACGTCCATCCTCTTTCAGGAGAAACACATTTCTCAGGGAAATCTTCCTCTTTTACCATGTCCGGATGGGAAATAAAACACGAAGCTGTAGCAGGAAAACGAGATCATGGGGTAAAAAGCCAACCTGGCTCTCCTCAAATAGAAGAAAGAGTGTGACTAAGAGCACATCTGAAGGTTGTTTGTGACAGTGAAAACATTGCATCAGCCAATTGTGACTTATCAGATCAAGAAAAGGGCATCTGTCTTGGCCTTCTGTCACACTAGTATAAGACAGATGGTCCCCAGCCTGTAATGTTTAGGGTAATAAAAAGCTTTAAAATTCTTTGTAGGGTCGAAAACACTTGTTGACTACATGGATTTACATCCACATGTGTAAAGGAGAGTTTTTAGGGGGCGTTTCAACTTTTCAAGAGAAAGCCAGTTCTGTTATTTTCACATTTTTAGATCTTGTTCTCAGATAACTATATGAAGTTGCATATTTTGCTGCATCGGTCATCAGTCCTCTCACAAAATTATCAGAAAGAAAGAAAAGAATGCACAATTCCCAAAATGGGTTTCCTTTAAATGTGCTTATTATGATCTCCCTAACAGTATTTTCTAAATGTAAACATTTTTTATCCTGAATCTGAGGGGCCATCTGCGCATTTTAAGGACTTATCTCAGTAGCACCCAGTTTTATTGACTCATCCATGCAGTCATTTATGGAGAAATATGTTACTCAAACATGCCTTTTAATTCCTCCCGTGTGGCATCCTGTAAATAGAGCTGTGCTTTTCTTCACACAACATGTGCTCATTCACCTCCCACCCTGTCTTTAACATTCATCCCTGCCCCTTTCTCTGCCTCACTCAGGTTGTACCTGGAGCGCCAGAAGAACCACTTCCACATTCACTCTGTGGCCTGCACTGGGACGGAGGTGCATCTGGCAGCCTGTCCAATGGAGTTCAGCAAGCCGAACGCCACCTCGTCCTGCTCGGGCGGCCTGCCGGCCGTCGTCAGCTGCATGCCGGGCCCGCTCTTCATGCAGAACAGCGGCTTGAAAAAGAAACTCAAAATTTCGGTAGGGACGAGAGTGGGACCTTTCGACACTCTGTATTATTCCCGGCAGTCGCCATGGTCTGGAAACATATTTTAAAAACGACCACTGGCCTCGGCTACGTTTTCCCCTTTGCTGTCCAGAGCAACGTGAGGCTGAAGGGGGGCGCCAGGCCGGGAGAGGGTCGGGTGGAGGTTCTGAAGGACAACGAGTGGGGCACGGTTTGCGACGACCGCTGGAACCTGCTGTCGGCCAGCGTGGTGTGCAGGGAGCTCGGCTTCGGCAGCGCGAAGGAGGCTCTCACCGGCGCTCGCATGGGACAGGGTAAGGAGTGATGCTCAGTATGAAGCATCATGGGAAGGGATGCCAAATGATTGTTCAAATGAGCAAGGTCCTCTTGGTTCGTTCATTTCTTTGTCCCTGCTTCTGGGGCCCATCAGTACTTTCCACACAAGAAAGTCAAACCCGAATCATCTTTAAAGCCCGTTGAGACCTCATAAAACGTTTTACTATTCACCTCAGTAAATGAAGAAACATCCGGCCTGTAATCTGGAAGATGTGACCAGCTAGTTTAGGAGCCTTCCTCTGTCCGCAGACCTGATCGTCCACCTGGAAAAGTGCTTCAGGGATTCCTCAGATTTTTTCCGAAGCTAAAGAATGCAATTCACGGGGAATGTACAGACTAAGGCATGGAAGGCCGGAGCAGGGGGTCATTTTCTGTAGGTACTTCAATAAAGTGAATTACGGTTTCATTGGTGCTTGCTGCTCATTTTTCGAGCAAATTTGCCCTCTAAGTATTTGACCCCCCTCATGAAAGACTGTTGGTTTCTTTTATAGGCATTTCTTCTCCATGCTGAGGTGTTGAGTTGGGTTTTCAACACAGCACGTTTCACTCCTTGAGAGAGCGAAAATATTTAGGGTGTAGGGTGAAAATGTGATGCAGGGTCCCCATGCTTCTCAAAGCCATCGCTCAATCGCAATTGTCTGGGAGACTGAAACAAGCCTTTAAAAAGAGTTTGAATGCATACAGTACTGTTGGTCATTATTTGGTCATTTTGACTCATTTGCAGTGACTTGCCAGTGTTAAACATCTGCAGATTATAGTGTTGCTTTCCCAGTGCCCTTTAGGGTTCTTGGGTGGCGGTTGTGGGCCACACGGGGCGTTTTCCTCGATGTCCAACTAAGTCACCATTGGTCGCATCCCACCAGAGTTATTCTTTTTTTAGGTGTCATGGGTCATTTTTTGTTTGTTTCCATGTCTAGTTGCCAGGCTGTATTCTGTTACCAAGCTTTCAGTTAGAGTTCCCTCTGTGCTTTTTGGGTTTTTTTTCTAATAAACCAAAGTTATTCGAAGCTCCTTGGTTCCCATGTTTTTCTCCTTTGGCCCTGCAGCTGGATCGGCACCCCCAGTCACAGCTGGAACTCAGAGCACCTTTTTCCCGCATATTTTAAGTCTAGATGTGTTTATTTGAATTTTTTTGCTTCAAGTGAAGGCGTCTTCTCCATGAAAACGTGCTTTAATGTGGTTTTATGGACACTTCAGCTCCTTCAGGGTTACCTTTTGGCCTCTTTTTTTATGATCAGATGAAAAGCAACTACTTGTGTGGTCTGTATTGTAACTGTCATTTTTAAAGCTTTGTGATATTTTTGCATGTACTTATAGCCCAACCCTTTTCAGTAGAACTGTGGAGAGAGCTCCTCTGTCTTCGTTTAGCTGCTTTGTAGGTGGTGTTCTAGACTTGAACAGCAGCTCCAACATGAAAGTCATGTCCAGCCATGACAGGAGGCCACACATGAGAAGCGTGTTAGTTTGTGCGCGTGTGTATTTTTCTCATTAGTGATTTTTCCCTTACAAGATGGCGTTGTGTTTTTCTGGGATAAACCGCCCAGAAATTCCATCAAAGGAGAAACAAGCAGGCTTTTGAGAGGGCATTTCTCTGAAATGCTGGAAGGGGATCGTTCTTCTCGTGTGTGCACACGCGCGGGTCAGGATTTCCACCACAGAGGAAGCTGGACGAAGGGAGCAAGCAACATACCTGCGCTGTCCTCGGGCTGATGTCCAACCACCAGCTCGATAAATTGATACCCGGAAACAGGCCCTCCTGAAGGAATTCCTTTCACAGAAAATTCCATAATTCTTCTAATCGTACAGAGCGCTGACATGTAGTGGAGGAGTGTGAGTTTGCAGAGTAAATGCAAGCAGGTTGTCCCAGACAGGGAGCATTCATGGTCCGAGACATGACTTGGATTATTTATATCCTGTTCGAAAAAGCATGCAAAATTATGTAATTCAACAGTATGTGGAAAAATAGCAAACTTCATGCCATAATTATGTATTGTGGTTATTGATGGATTGTTTGACTTTACTCTAAAAGCTTGATCAACCTTTGAGTCACCGTCTCTCTGTTTTGTCCAGGAATGGGCCCGATCTACATGAACGAGGTCAAGTGCGTCGGTCAGGAGAAGTCCATCTGGAATTGCCCCTTTAAAAACATAACCTCGGAGAACTGTCAGCACATGGAGGACGCTGCTGTTCGCTGCAACGTGCCGTACATGGGCCTGGAGAACTCGGTCAGACCTGAACCTCCTTACTTAAAACTGCTGTTTTAAAACTGCTGCTGAGTTTGTTTCTCGAGATATGCAGGCAGCTTTAAAAAAAAAAGTATTAATAGCTGTTAAATGTGTTTGTGACGTCATTTTGTTTTTTATATTAATTTGAGTTAATTTAATGAGAAAGAATTTTAAACCAGATTTTTTCTTTTGTTATACTGTTACATAACCTTGTGTTTGTTCATCTATTACCACCTGTCTAACAATCTTCTCGAAATGGGAGATTTAGAGATATCAACAGGAACTCTGTTGTATTCAAATCTCACATCATAGTTCACTAATAATTCTTCTTCACTGTTGTCACAAAAAGTCCTTTTTTATCTTGTTTTTAAGCACCAAATCACAAAAAATCAAAAATAGAAGTGAATGGTTTTGATATTGAATCAGAAAAAAATCAAATTTAAAGAAAGGCTTCTTGGACAACAGTGATTTCTTTTTAACGTAGTTTTGCCATTGCCTAACTAGACTATGCTTGTGTATTTCTTCTGGATTACCATGTAGATGCACACACAAGCCAAGCTAGAACCTCCACAAAAGAGACGCCACCCTCTAATTGGTGAATCAGTACATTCAATCTGGTCCTTGACTTTGGCGTTTCATAGCTCTATTAAGACAACACCGTGGTGCTTTTGACACCGGCAGAAGGCTTCAGCCATTTGAGATGGCCCCTGTGCATCTGCGCTCTGCTCTGTGGGGTCCTAACCCCTCGGTCTCACACAGATCCGAATCACAGGAGGACGAACCCGCTACGAGGGCCGGGTGGAGGTTTTGAGCTCAGACTCCAACGGGACACAGAGCTGGGGTCTGATCTGTGGTGAGAGCTGGACCACCAAGGAGGCCATGGTGGCCTGCAGGCAGCTGGGCTTGGGCTACGCTAACCAGGGCTTGCAAGTAGGTCATTAACACCACCAGGGACGACTTCAGCAAAGGGTTGCTTGTGTTACTGTAGGCACCAAATATGCAAATATAATATTCTGTCATCTGGACCCAGTGGCCTTTTACGGTTTTGTGCTTGAGCCTCCAAATGCCGAGTTTTAAAATGAGCTCCCTCCATTCTGTTTTAAACTCTTGGCAAAAACTGGGAAAATTCCACCCGGTTGTCTGCTCCAGAGATCCTGCATTCAGATTCTTTGGCAGCAGCAACTGGAGTGTGTTTACTGTCGCGTAAACATGTGTCCGGCTCAACAGCAGAAACCAAAGGGCCATGCCGGCATCAACATATGACAGTATATTATCATTCCATTTGCATTTATTTATTTATTTGGTTTGCTTTGCGTTCTTTGTGAAAGAACCAACTACTCTAACCTCGGTTCCATGTGAGCAGTCCCAACCAGACTCGCATGAAATGAAGGCCTCTCCGTGCCTGAGCCCATAGCGGTGACCTCATTCGGAAATAACGACGACTTCTTTTAGAAAAAAACCCCAAAGCAATCAAACTGCTGCTTCTTTAGTGCATGCGGCCTTCTTAAGGCTGATAGTCCGAAGTCAGACAAGGCGGGAGACGGGACAGGAAGTGTGTCCCCTCACTGACTCCCAGCAGGACGTTTCTGCAGATCCGGATAGTGGGCGGCCGGAACAGTTATGAGGGCCGGGTCGAGGTTCAGGTTGGGTCCAAGTGGGGGACAGTGTGCAGCACTGGCTGGACCACAAAGGAGGCCATGGTGGTTTGCAGGCAGCTAGGGCTCGGCTACTCCATGCATGCTGTCAACGTAAGTGCACCGAAGACATAAAGAAGAGAGTCATGATTTAGATATCCATGTCCTGTTGGATGCGTCATGACCAAACATATCAGATAAGCACAGATGATAGTCATAATTGTCATGTGAATTTATACAGAAAATTAAGGACAAGAGATCATAGTTTTGCTGTTTTGAAAGTTCTCGCACTTAGAAATCATGGAGGGGTCTGAAAATATAATTGTAGGTGCATGTCAACTGTGAGAGACATAATCTAAAAATAATAAAATCCAGAAATCCCAATGAATGGGGTGGACAGGTGTCTGTATGCAGCTAACGACCTCAAACAGGTGCATTTAATTTAAGGTAATAAATGGAGTGGAGGTGGACATTTTGAAGGCAGACTAACAGGTCTTTGAGGGTCAGAATTCTAGTTGATAGACAGATGTTCAAATACTTATTTGCAGTTGTATCATACAAATAAATAGTTAATTTCCTTTTTTAGGATCATTGAGACCCCACTAGGTGAGATCTTCCACGGAGCCCCAGTCCGAGGGAGATTGACAGTCATGTTTAGCTTCTTCCATTTTCTAATGATTGCTCCAACAGTGGACCTTTTTTCACCAAGCTGCTTGGCAGTTTCCCTTTACCACTTTCCAGCCTTGTGGAGGTGTGCAGTTTTGTTTTTAGTGTCTTTGGACAGCTCTTTGGTCTTGGCCATTGTACGGCGTGGAGAGGTGTTTATGCAGCTAACGACCTCAAACAGGTGCATCTAATTTAGGATGATAAATGGAGTGGAGGTGGACATTTTGAAGGCAGTCTAACAGGTCTTTGAGGGTCAGAATTCTAGCTGACAGACGTTCAAATACTCATTTGCAGCTGTATCATACAAATAAATAGTTAAAAAATCATACATTGGGATTTTGGGATTTTTTTTTTTTTGTTACGATGACATTTTCAGACCCCTCCATAATTTCTAAGTGGGATAACTTGCAAAATAGCAGAACTTTATTCATTTGTGTTTTGGACAGCTTATCTCATTGTTACAATTCAATAAAGATAACAGCATTTCATGTCCAGGGTGTACAGTGCTCTCGCGCAATGTCAAATTGGGAAAAAATTATAGAGAACAGAAAATTTACCAAATGAACCCCATATTTCACTTTCTTTTTTTTCTTTTTTTTTTAACCCTGCGTGCCTCTCCTGATTGCTATCCATTCCGCTTTTTAAGGAGACCTGGTACTGGGACAGCAGCAATGTGACAGAGATGGTGATGAGCGGCGTGAAGTGTGTCGGAAACGAGATGTCTCTGAGCCAGTGCCAGCATCACAGAGCGGTCAGCTGCCAGAAAGCAGCGGCGAAGTTCGCCGCCGGGGTCATCTGCTCCGAGAGTGAGTCCCGGCTTTCTTGTCTGCTTTCATTTCACCAATTAGTCTTAAACATCTAGAAGACTAAACTGCAAACACATATAAACCCGATGGGCAAAGCATGAGTACTATATTGCTGTTCTTTCTCCTCTTTATCCCAGCGGCCTCCGATCTGGTCCTGAATGCGTCTCTGGTCCAGCAGACGGTTTACATTGAGGATCGCCCTCTGCACATGCTCTACTGCGCTGCAGAGGAGGACTGCCTCTCCAAGTCCGCCGCTAAGGCCAACTGGCCGTACGGACACCGGCGCCTGCTCCGCTTCTCCTCCCAGATTCACAACATCGGGCGGGCCGACTTCAAGCCCAAGGCTGGCCGCCACTCCTGGGTCTGGCACGCCTGCCACGGGTAATGTCGCTGGGGCAAAAGAAGCCGGGTCCACTCTGAAAAAGACCAACCTCAGAGGGGTTTTCTGATTTGACTAATTTATTAAGTGAATTCTCTGCTCTGACAAGTTGCGTAAAGTTTAAAGTCGAAGCTTGATATTGGAGTAAAACTGCTTTGTGTGGCCAGTTGTCAAGAGAGATGTCATTTTGAATTCTTTTTTGTCTCGTTTAAGATGAAAATCTAATACAAACGCGTGCATTTACTCTCTTTTCTGACAGCCACTATCACAGCATGGACATTTTCACCCACTACGATCTGCTGAATGCCAACGGTACCAAAGTCGCCGAAGGCCACAAGGCCAGTTTCTGTCTGGAAGACACAGACTGCCAAGAGGGTGAGCCTTCGGCGATCAGCGATTTATAAACGCTTTAATGCAGATAAATCGTTTGAAATCAAATCCATGACGGCGCAGTGGTTTTGACACACCGTTTGTCTTTCGTAATTCATGTTCGCCTTTTTTATTCAGGCGTCTCTAAGCGGTATGAGTGCGCCAACTTTGGCGATCAGGGCATAACCGTCGGCTGCTGGGATCTGTACCGTCACGACATCGACTGCCAGTGGATCGACATCACCGACGTCAAACCCGGAAACTACATAATGCAGGTGACTGCGGGAGAACGCGAACCGTTGCTGAATGAAAAGGTGGAGCCGTTTCAAACACGCCGCTTTCTCCACAAGGCTCAGCCTTTCTCTGCGGGTTAGAGGGAAAAAAAGAGGGAAAGGTAGTCCGCGTCTGTAGAAATCTGTATTTTTGAGTGTTCTAAACAGAAGGTTTCCTAGATTATGGTTTTATTCACCTTGATACATATTTTGTTTGGGGGGAGACCTCTAATTACATCACCACGGCATCTTTTTGCCCTTCTCTTCGGTGTGAAATGTTTTGAATTTCCTGTGCCTTTAAGGCCTCCATCATTACGGTGTTGGAGCTGTCCACCCTTCCTTATTGGCATGTAAAACACAAATATTCAATTATCAGGGTGCCACGTGGCACGTGGACATGAAGGTGGTCCCAGATGTGGACACCGAGCACCAGGAACTTGGATTACAGATTATTTGTTGCGTTCTTTTCATTCCCTGCGACCTCTGACCTCCTCAGATCGTGATTAATCCAAACTGCGAAGTGGCCGAGAGCGACTTCACCAACAACGCCATGAAATGCAACTGCAAATACGACGGCCATCGGATATGGTTCCACAACTGCCACATCGGTAAGCTGCCCCTAACGTCATACCAGACAGTGTTTTTCTGACGGAACTAACGGTCGCTTTCGACCCCCGCGCAGGTGACGCCTTCAGCGAGGAGGCAGAGAGGTTATTCGAGAAATATCCCGGACAGCTCAACAACAAGATCTCCTAATGGGGGACTCATTCCTCACACCCAAAGTGCGGTGGGGGGGGGCGGTGAAAGATCGCACCTTCACCTCCCTCGCTCTGAAAGAAAGACACAAACCCTTAGTTTTCAGGTGCTAAAACGGATCCCCAGCACACATCTCTGATTTATAGTCCTTGAAAAATCAACAGTTGTCTTCTTTATACTTGAATATTCAAGTGTTTTTTTTAAATATAGTCTAATTTCCAGAGGTCGGTCATACAGTCTGTGTCCGACACGTGTACAGCTTTCTGTTGAATGTTTATAATGCAAATTCTGAATGAAGTTGGATTTTTTTCTTTCTTTCAAGTTTTTTTTTTTGATAAGCTGATTTATTTGATTAAAAAAGCGCATCACGCTGCAGCTGTACGGCCTGAAAAAGAGAACAACATCCACGATATGCACTGCGCGCTGTGGAAGGGAGACCATCCTGTAGAAGTGACAATCCTACGTTTTGAATGGTTTTAATTAGCTGAGGAGCTAAATGTAAATGAACTTGAGCATCAGGAAAACTTATCTTAAATTTTTTGCACAAAGGATCGTGTACAACTGGAGCAAATCATAACAGTAAAGACAGTTTTGGAATTCAGTCTGGGTCTCTTTGGTCTTTAGGGAATCCTGGGCGAACACATGAAAAGAGAGAAAATAAGAATTTACTGGCTGTATGTATTCTGATGTAACCTCACCTACTTCATCAAATAAAGCGAAGAGGAATTGTTTTTTTTGTTTTTTTCCCTAATGCGACCAAACTGATCTTTCTTTAGTTTTAATGTACTGCCAGCGATCCTCATTATGCCTTTAAAAACCTATTGTTTGGTTACGAGTATGACAGAACCTTTTCATCTCTGTGTTTGATAAGTTTTTCAAACAGAGGGCTGGGCAGCCTTGAAAAAGTCCTAGGGCAAGGTCCCACGAGCAGTCCTGTCCACCTGAGGGCCCCCGCTCACCTGACACCACTCCCCAGGGGCAGAGGAGGGGGGGACCTGCCGCTGGCTAGCTGCCTGTTGCTCAATCCACAGCTAATCCCAGTCTCCAACACCTTTGAGGGGCAATCCCATTAACCCCATTTACCAATCACATTAACCCCGTGCACAGCTTTGCACCAGCCTGCTTACGTCAGTCTAGCGCCTGAATAAGGTTACAAGGTGGATGACACCCGTCGCTGTCTCTCCACTTTGTTTCACTGATGCAAATGATGCGGACGGGGACCAACCCCACAAATCACCAGGTCTATGAAAAGGCTGAAAAGTCCATTTCTGCTTCCAAAAACAAAAAAAAAACACACCAAAAAAGCATTTTCCAAATCACAATTGATATGTTTTAATCTATAGTGATAGAGGAGACTAGCGGAACCACAGAATTGATTGGCTGTTTACAAGGCTCAATGACGGAAGCCTGTTTAACACTGTGCTCCATCACTTTTGAAAGATAATCTTTTCCATGGAGTTCATCTTCTAGACAGGCCCGGAATCTCCCTTCTGTGGAGGACAGATCTGGAAACAAGGCAGGTGTTTGACTACAGAGATTATTCACTAGTTTGCCTGTGATGTGCAAAAAGAATCAGAAAAACTCAGAACTGTTCACATTGAGTGACTTTATACACCGTAAATAAAACCAGTCATGTTCGGTGACAGAGAAACGATGCTAAACAATAAAACGCGGGAAGCTGAAACGTGGAAAACGGAAGGTTTCAGATTCACGTTCGGGTCCAAGCGAGGCCAGTTTCACCAGGGCGTTCACTGCTTTCAGCATTTCCGGTCTGAAAAATCTTCCTTCTCTCGTCAGAGGCCGCCGGATTGATGTTGAAGTCCCGACCAGCGCAGGATCATGGGTTCAGTGGGCCAGCTCACTTCAGCACCGTCTGTTTGACAACCCTGCCTTCTTTGTCAATGGCAAAGTTGTAATTTTTCGGATTGTCCAGAGCCTCCTCGATCCGTTGATCCAAGTTCTCCGGGGTGATGAAGGTCTTTGCGTCCTCCTGGAAGTGATTGAGAGCGGCCGTCAAAGCGAGCCACAGAGAAAACACTATCAAACTATAAAGAGCTCCTTCGTACCTGCAGCTGCAAAATCTCCTTCTCTTTTTCCCGGATTAACTCTTGCTGCTCTTGCTCGCGCTGAATGGCAGCCTCCATCTTCCTGTGCGCCGCTTCCTCGTCCTCTTTGTGGATTCGTAAGAGTCTGAAACGCAGAAGGTGAGGGGAACAAAACCGCCTTTAGAACAAGGCAAAGAAATCTTCGTCCCTGCCGGATGTGCAGACACATAAACGCAGGGGGAACGCTCATTTGTGCTTTCCCGCACCTGGCTTTGAGGATGCGGCGGTTTTCCTCGTCGTTCCAGGCCATCAAGGCACGATGCTCTTCTGCCTCCTTCCTCGCCCTCTCCTCGGCCTGGGATCCCGTCTCCTCTTCATACTTCTTTCGCAACACCTCCTCCTTAAACTCTAGACTGGGGGTAAAGAATGAAATTTTAAAAAAAGTAAAAACCCCAGGAAATTAAGAATCCAAAGACCTATATGACACAACTTATATCCACGTGAAATAGGTGAAGATGACCAATATCTAAAAGATGCACACATAAATTAAAGCTAAAGCCATTTAAAATATCTTCATTAAAATGATACATTGTCTCACATGGAGTTAGAGAGCTGTATTGTCAACAAACAAGATTTTTTAGTGTGCTCGAAATGGACAAGTAAATATTTAGCTGTACTTTAAATCAGAATCTAAAACACATCAGAACACAAAACTATTCAAATACCAGGACACCATTTTTAGAATTTTTAGAAGATTTGAGCCTGTAATGCTACGCACCGAAGCGCCCTCATGATCAGTTGGTACTGCGTGTATCTCTCCTTCAGGACCACCATCTCCACCGGGTCAACGGGGGGAGGCGTTTTGATGCGACCCTCTTTGGACTTGGCCACCGGGTCCGTGCGGGACTTTCGACCCCGGACAGCCTCCACGAGCACGGCGCTCCTGGGCGCGAGGAGCCGCGCCGCCTGGACGCCCCTCCCGCCAATTATCTGCAACATCTCGGCGTCGTAACGATGCAGCTGGTGAACGCTCTCGGTCGCTAAACGTGCCGTTAGTCAAAGCTTGAGGGTACGTAACCTTCGGCGTTTGTTAACATTGAGGCAGAGATGCTACGAGCATAACACGGCAGCCATTTTTTTTTTTTGCACCTTTGACCGACGGAAGTGATTCGGCGACAACGACGCTGTCAGCTCTCCACTTCCATCTCCAGGTCAGGAAAGGTATTATATTTTGTAGCTTGCTCCCCTTTTCAAGTGGTGCTTTTTTTAAATCTCTCCTAAACTATAAATAATGACATTTTAAATGTATTTGGAATAAAATATCCGACCAAACAAAATTACCTATAATGAATGGCTCACCACCATGAACAGTTCCACTGATAACATGTCGTTAGCATGACTAAATACACCTGTTCTCAACATATGTGTGCCCAACTCAGTCTGTACACTCAGTTTCAGTTTTTTGTTGGTCTTTGAGGTAAAAATGAAAGTTTTATCCTCTGCGTTTTTTATCTTAGCAAGTGGAGTTTTTGAGAAAGCGTTTCACTTTTAATTGCCTCAGAGGGTTTGTGGTGTTTTTAATTCATTTTTGTGGTGGCAACTGTTTTCAAGTTTTTTCAAACTAGATAGACTATGTCTTTCCTCCACATTTTGTGGGACTCTTGTCTTCACCGACATAAGGATGTTACTCAACCCGTTACAGATTTGACCAGCTTGGCAGGAACGTGGAATAATGCTAAGTGATGTCTGAGTCTGAGGAAATCTGATTAGGATGTGTGCTAAAAGTGTCCTCAGTGTTTATGATGATTATTCTAAAGGTCATGATATGAACATAAAACAGATGCTGAGATAAACTAGAATCACTTCATTATAAGTTCAGTACTACTTTTTATGTTATGGCTTTATGTCTTATGTACCTATTTCACGTTCGTTTTAATCAAATCATCCAGTCTATTTTGCCAATCGGTTTTGTTTTGCCTTCGTTAAAATCCACATTTATGCTGTCCTTGTTCTCATTTATCCTAATTTCTGCTATTCAACTGTAACACAGTAAAAGACGGAGTCCCTGATAAAAGTTATTTCTTCTTAACTATTACCACAGATTTTGAAGTCACTCATTACAAGCCAGGCAAAATTATTTCTTATCTAAGTTTGGTATATCTTTGTTATCAAAGTTCTAACTGGAAATGAATCTCATTCAAGTGGAAGGTCAGGCAAAGCATTCAGAGCATGTCATCAATAGTCAAATCCTCTCTATAATCTAAGTTTCGGTCTGTCATGTTTTAAATGTACAAAAAGTTTCATTGCACAGCTGCTTTTCCCCAAAAAAGATTAACCTCCTGAGACCCCAGATTTTAATTGGTGTGCATTTTTGCTTTTTTAAAGATATATGGGATTAGTACAACCTACTAAGTTTAATAACTAAAATTTGTCATGGTACAGGTAGTTGTGCTTCGTATAGGCTCAGTGGGTTTATCTTTATATTTAAAATGCTAGTTTATGTATCTAATTAAATGTTATTGGAATTTTGTTCTGACAGTCCAAATTACTTATTAACAATTTTGTAATTACGCAATAAGAACATTATTGGTTGAAAATGTATAGCACCCATTTTACTTTAGAGTGTCTGATAGCGTCTGCTATGAGGCCAAGAGGTCAAAGTTGAAAGAAAAAAGAAGTATCATGGTAAAGAGAGGCAAAAATGCTATGTCCTCTTATGAGGACGCAGGGTCTCAGGAGGTTAAACCATGGTAGTTTTCTTTGCTGTGGTTTCAAGTAGTCTGTACTTTTTATTTATGTGTTTTGTTTTTCCGAAGATGACACACAGCAGTTTGGATACCTGCACCCATCGTGCATGATATAACACATCCAACACGTTCATAGAGGCTTGAAAAGAAAACTAGAAATGCCAAGACTGTTGCAGGTCAGTTAGGTTTATTCATCTTGTTGGAGGCTGTTACACTCGATGTGTAATGGCGCAGACTTGGTTTCAGTTTCCCAGACGTAAAGCACCATTAACATCTGACAAAGAGATCCTGCAGTTATGTTTCAGTTTCATAGCTAAGCTTCGAATGAACTTACAGAGGGAAAAACCTAGTGCCGCTGGGCCTAGAGACTCTTTGTATAACTAGAAGGAGAAACCAGCAACAATAAAATCTTCCGCAGCATTTACATGTACAAAAAGATTGCCCAAATCAGGCACCCTTGTAGGACGACCAAATTCACTAAATTTTTTTCTGTATTTTTGTCGTTGTTGTTTGTTTTTTTTATTTGTAAATGTAAATACGGAGGGAGACTAAACAGGATAAAAAATATATCTGATACCATGGGGGAAAAAACTTAAGGTTGCTGGTTCATAGATTTACTTCTTCCACTACAGAAACAGGGGGTGTGGGACATGGCTTAACTGATTGGTGGAGTTCCTAGTGAAAAATAAAGATGTTGTAGATAAGATCCAAACACTGAGAGATAACAGTTTGTTCGGGGTTTTTTCGCCCTCCTTCACAAACAACTGGTCAAATGTTTGCGCAGTGAGGCCCCAGAGAAGTAGCCGTTAGCTCTATTGCTTGGACCTTAGCGTGAATCACAGAGAGGAACTCAGCCAAAGCAATTCAGCCGTCCCACGTCGGTTTGTAACTAATGCAGTGCAGCCACTTTGCGATGTGTGGTGTAAGAATGTGTAGAAGAAGGGGGACTTCTTGTCGACCTCTTGTTCAGCACAAGGGCACAGCTGTCTTGAGAGATGAGTTTGGGGTTTGAGATTTGTTATCGTATAATTCTGAGCTTTAGAGGGAAAGAGGATGGAGGGGAGATGGGTGACGGGGAAGTTGTTGGATAATGTCCAGGGTAGAAATGGAGGCGTATGATGAATTTTGATGCCAGAGTCGTGGCATTTGGGTTCTAATTCAGAGCGGGAAATGAAGGGTAGGTCAGACGAATCTCCTCTCCCTCCAAAAGTTTCCTAAAGGGGTAAAAGAAAGACAGATGCTCATAAGACAACGTGCCCTGAAGGGGGGGTTGTGTGCAAGAGAGGAGAGTTCCTCACCTGTATGCCGTTATTTCAATGTCAAGGGCCATCTTCACGTTCAGAAGGTCTTGGTAGTCCCTCAGGTAGCGTGCCATCTCCTGCTTGGCCTCGGTGATGTCCCGCTCCAACTCACTTATCCTTATCTGGGAAAAAAGCAAACGAAAAGGAAGAAGTCTTAGTCATCTTTTTGGAAGCTTACTGCACTCTTGTTTGTTGCATGAATTCCTCTGACACCGTCGGGCCCTTTACTGTAAGCCAAAAGAAGAGCAAAGGTTGATCTTGCATGCTTTCTGATAGAGGAAAGAGAAACTATTTTTGAGTGTCAGTGGGGAAAATTTGTCAACCTCCGTTAAACCCTAAAAATCAGTTGAGTTTTTCAGTCTTAATCATTCCGTCCTTTTCATTCTGCAACCGTTACAGACTCAATCCGATGACCTCTCTCACCTGGTACTTCTCCACGTCCTTCGCCTGCATCTCCTCCAGGTCCTCCAGTTGCTTATTCAGGGAGTCGATCACGTTCCGTAGCGCCTCGATCTCAGACGACCGAGACTGGAGCAGTCTCCGGTACTCCATGGTCTCCTCCCGGATGGCGTGCACGGCCTCGTCGTTTTTGCTGGCCATCTCGGCCACGCTCGCAAACTTGCTCTGGTACCATTCCTCCGCGGCCTGCATGTTCTTGTTGGCCAGCCGCTCGTACTGCGCCCGGATGTCCCGCAGGGCCGTGGAGAGGTCGGGCCGGGTCACCTCCACGTCCACGCTGATGTTGGCCACCTGCAGCTGGGCCTGGAGCTCCGCCTGCTCCTCGGCGAAGACCTTCTTGAGGAACGCCATCTCGTCGCACAGGGAGACCACCGAGGCCTCGGCGTCGCAGTTGTAGACCGCCGCCCTGCCGGCCTCCTCCCGGGCCCTCTGCAGGCCCTCCTCGGCCTCGGCGCGCCTCCTCGTCTCCTCCTCGTAGTGCTCCCTCATCTGCTCGTAGACGTCCCGCAGGTAGTCCCTCTCCGCCTCCATCCGCATCTTCTCCCCGTTCTCCGAGTCGATCATGGACCTCAGGCTGCGCGACTCGCCCTCGTAGAGCCCCTGCAGGCGGGACGGGTCGCTCCGCCGCCTCCTGAGCGCCTCCAGCTCCGCCAGCAGGGCCCGGTTCTGCAGCTCCAGGTGCCTCACCTTCTCGATGTAGGTGGCGAAGCGGTCGTTCAGATCCACCAGCTGCGCCCTCTCCTGGGAGCGCACGCCCAGCAGCTCCGTGTTGAGGGAGCTGGCCTGCGTGAGGTCCATCCTCTGGGAGCCGTCGGGCAGGGCGGAGGAGGCAAACCGCAGGACCCTCTTCCCAGACGGAGGAGCCCGCAAGGAAGGGTAGAGAGATGAAGGGATGGTGGATTGGGCATTGGAGCGGGAGCCTCTGTAGCTGTCCCAAGGCCGGCGGTAGGAGATGAAGGAGTCGTAGCTCATGGTGATTTCGTGGAGTTCTGTGGATGTGTGTTTTAGTTTTAAGAAGTTTTGTTTTTTTTTCTTTTACGTCCCCCTTGTTCTGCACACCATCGGTGAGGATGAGCGAGCGTTTTTGCACTGCACCAGTTCGGTGAGACTGCAGATCCCAAGCTTTTTATAGAGCCCGGCTGCTCCCCCCTCCACCACAGAGAAACAGCACCGCTGTCAGCATTTGCTAAGCCAATGGGAGGCTTCTGCAGTGAGGAGAGAGGTGGTCGGTTTTCAGACTCACTCTCATCCAAGGATGGGCAGAATGAGGATGGTAGAGGAGATTTTGATTGCTTTCTGTGTTGTCTCGACATGAATAAGCTGGTGTTACTCCACACATCTCTTATTGCTTTATGTCACAAAAGCATGCTCGGAAGAGTTTCTCAACAAATATAAGATGACACAAAAAAGCTGAGGGAAATCTGAAAAGGATCTTAGCATATGTCTTTTACCCACTCCAGTAAAATTAATAGATAAATCGTAAATGAAGCCGGCAAGGAAAATGGTACACGTTTCAATCACCAGGCACAGAAAGTTTCAAAGTAAAGATATATATAAAAGCAATGACACAGAGATGAACAGCTACCTCGATATATTTGACCCTCCACATTTTCTGCAGGATATTAGGCATGATTCTTCTTCATCTTAAAGCTGGTAAAACGTTTCCCTAAATCTCTGGTTAGCTGGAAAAACAGCATGTCCCCCCTTTTTTTCTGCACTTTTTCTTTCAAACTGTCCTCCGACTTTCTGTTCACCAGCATTGTGATGACTGTTGTTGATGTATTTTTATACTGCCCTATCAATTCCCCCTGTTTCCTGAGTATGTGTGTGTATCCGGTATCTATTTGACTTAATTAGCCCACAAAGTCATGAGTCATTGATGTTCTTCAGCTGCCCTGACTCTGAGCGTGTCTTGGAGACACCCCTGACAGGGACCCCGCTGTCTATCTGCTGACATGGGGGAAACTTTTGCTGCTCTTCAGCATCCAGAGACGAGTAAATCGAACAATACAAAGCTGGTCAGGAGAAGGGGCCGTGACTTCCGCTCTGGGACAGGCGTCTAAAGGCGGCTGCGTTCAGAGCAATTGGCCATGAAGTCGGACTCTCTCACTCTGCTACTCTATGGGCATTCTAACCCCCCCCCCGCCCGCCTCTCTCTGATGTGTCTGTGCTGACATTGCCCCGGTACAGTGCAAAATAAAGGCAAAAAATAGATCACAGAGGATTTCTAACCGCTCCGCCTCCATCAAATGACATACAGGGGCTTGCCTGATTAGGAAAATACTGTTAAATCCTTTGGAGTCCATGGGCAGAAATTCCACCTTTTGCAGTAGACACTTTATTATTTTCAGATTATTTATTTATCTGGAAAGGCCTAATTGTTGTTGTTTTTAAACTTAGTGTTGAGGCACAGTTTGAGTGACACTGTTTATCAGAAGATGTTGTATATGAGATTTAACCTCATACATCTTTATACTGATCTAATAAGGAATTTTATGCTGTGATTATGGAGATATGTGCTATTCTCAGTTGTTGCCAGTAGAGGTCAATAAACCTCACTGATTTTTAAAAATACTTGTGGAATTTAGACCAAGACAATGACAGATCTATTCTGAAATTGCCCTTTTACCAACCAGCAAATTAATGTTTTGTGTATCTGAGGTGGATTATACAAAAGATCTCATCCCTATATAATTCAAGTAACACTTCCGGCTTCCAATTTGATATAAAAAAGAAACATTTTCTCTGTTTTCACATTTTAAAAAATGTCCCAAACTCGTGTTTTTGCAAACACTTTCATTTTGTGGTATTTTTCCCTCTTGGGTAGTCTTGGACTGCAAGTAGCTGCAAACAACAAATACGTGATTGAAGAAGTAAAATCAGACAAAACAAATGAGCAGCGAGTGTAAAAAGGTGTAAGGAAATTTTGCCCCACTCCAATGTTTCCAATGTTCGTGCACAGCTCTTTACGAGCCTGACACAGCATTTCAGTCCAGCTGAGGTCAGGACTTGCGGCTGTGTCGTTGAAAATGCAAAGGCTCTTTTCTTTTTCATTTTATTGTCAATTTGCTGCTGCAGTCGGGATCTTTTCTCCGTCGAATGATCCAGTCCTATGAATAAATAATGACCAGGTGTAATGTGTCGCGTGTTGCCCATCTGAGACTGGAGCTGCCTCATTTTAAGCCCTGACAGGGATGAAATCTATTACGTTATGATGGTATGACACGTACAACTTCAGGATTTAAAGAGAGTGTGTGTTCTCTTTAACACCGTTCACATGAGCTACAGCAAGTGTGCACCCAAAAATGAGCTCCTCTCTGGTGTCACCACTTGAGAAACAAGCATGTAAATCACTGAATTGATAAAAAGTATTGCTCCGTTAAGTTACTCTTCTTTCAGGGTCATTTCATTCTTGGACTGTTGAATGTTGATAGAAAAAATATAAAGTATATGAAATTGATTAGCTGTCATCCGCCCCATCTTGAGCTGTAAGTTTACAGTTTAAGTTTAATGTGTAATGTCTCCCCTAGTGCTGGATGAGCAAAAAAAAAAACATTAATCTTATGAACAGCAAAGTATCTGCCTTTTTAGTAGGAAAAAAAAGTGGCTTTCACATGGATGAATGCATAGTTGTTATGTTAGATGACACTCATCACTTTTGATCCCACTTCATTGGTTTATATTGCACGAAAACAGAAAAATAGATGATATCAAGTTGTTTTTTTGTGATGATGGTCTGAAAGGGACACCAGATTGTTGTTGAGGGTTTTGAGTCCTTGCCACTAGGTGGCACGTTTGTGTTGTTAGATGGAGCCCTCACGGGATGCAGGTATAGCAATGTGTTTTTTTGCTATAAAGTGATGTGTTGACATGAGTACGGATGAAGGTTTCTTTTTAATACCACTGTTATAAAGTAACCGATTCACGATTGCAACCACCACATCGATCAGAGTGTGTTATAGCTCAAATAAAATCAAAATTGCATGTTTATTCAGACATCATTTACAGTAGATATATCTTCCAGTGGTACATAAGGTAAAAATAAGTACATAAAACATTTCTATTGACAGTTAAAGACTTTGGAATGTCATTTTCTAAAAATTTTATACATTTACAAGAATTGTTGGTGAACATTTTCAAAAGGGGAAAAAGACAATCAATCCGTGTTTTTGGACGGTAATAAAGGAGCTTGGAGCTACCTGAAGAGCCCATTATGAACTGCATGTTAGATCCACTTTCCACCGTTTTACATTCAGCTGAAAATTTGTTAAATGCTTACCACGTGAAAGCACATCCAGAATAATAAGACACTCCACATAGAAACGGTACAAGAAATGTACATTTAGGTTAAGATTCAATACAAAAGCGTATTCCTTTGGTAGAAAACATTTATCTCAGGAAAATATGTGCTGGATCTAAGGAAGTATTTGCATCTTGCATGGCCTGTCGGACATCTTACATCCACAAGACCTGTGGGCAAAGGTTGAAACATTCACCTCATCTAGAGAGGGCTGCATATGTCATAAACTAGACAGCAGACATGTACAGGGCTGCCTGTAACAACTTCTGGTACAGCATGAAGGTGGTCATTCACAGGTCGATCTGTACAGTACTTTGGTTCCTTTCTCATCACCAAGTCTCAGGGCGCCGGGGGCTAAGATTGCGCGCGATGCGTCCAAGTGTAAACTATGAGCCCGGAGAGCTACTTTATTGACAGACAGACATTACAAACGAACCGATGACACATACAAAATCAATATAAATCTTCTTTTCTCCAAGTCCTTTTTCCCCCTCCAGACTTGTCTTGTGCATGAAATGGGGCAAAACAAAACAAAACAAAAAAAAATCACTGCATACGCGCGAGTCTTTTTAAAACAGTGCAAGTCGAGCTTCGTTTCGTGTCCTCGCTTAGAAGATTTTCAGCCGTTTGCCAGTCGCTCTGCCCCCCTTTGCCATCCTCTGGCTCTGCTGGTCTTTCGAAAGCGGGCAGTACTTGATGGTGTGCGCGTTGTCGCCGTTGGCGCTGCAGAGGGGGCAGGTGTACGCCCTGAGGATGGGGCACAGGACCCGGCCGTCCGCCGTCTTCAGGATGTGGGTGCCGTAAACCTCCTCCGGCGCGCCGTTATTCCGACAGAACACGCACACCTTGGGCTCCGGCTTCCCTCTCTGCGTCTGTTTGCGTCTCCGGTCCGCGGAGAGCAGGTCGAGACCGGCGAAGCCGCCGGCGTAGGCGTGCGCGTCTCTGTCCGCGAACTGCGCGTCGCCGGCCAGGTGCTCGTAGGGCGCCAGGAGGGAGATGCGCTCCTTGAGGTCGTAGATGGAGATCGGCGGGGTGCTCGGGCCGGCGCAGCAGCAGCAGCAGTCCGAGTGGCCGTCGCCGTCTCGGCTGTGCGCCATGACGCAGGAGCAGACCGGGGAGTCGTCCTCCAGACCCAGAGTCGCTTTGAGCGACTCGGTTATAGAGTTGGGGTTGCAGGAGGGGCTGTTGATCTTGTTTTTGGCCACAAGCGTCGACAGCCCGAGGTAGTCGTTCCAAAAATTAAAAGTGTAATCGTAAGGAGAGCGCGCGTCCAGGTAGCCGCGTTCTAAGAAATCCATCCTATCGGGGCTTCAAAAGTTTTAGTGTCCGCGGAGGTGAAAAGGGGTTTGGGCTGGTGCGTCTGTCTGCATGGAGGGCACGCGGAGGGGGGCTTCTTCTCGGCTCTCTTGCTCGGGCTGGTTTGCGGGGCGTTCAGCGTGTAGGTGCAGATAAGTTCCCCCAGAATAAAAACATGTGGGCGTGGTTTGGTTCAAGTTGATTTTCTCTCCGGCCCCAGAGGAGGGTCCAGAGCGCAGAGCCCCCCCCCCCACCCCCCCTCCACACTCACACACACACACATACACAGCCCAGCCGTTAGTACGCACACTGCATGCCCATCTCTATGTGTTTACAGGGGGTAACCCATTCTGTTGGCTGAGAAATGCCCTGATGTTGTTCCAACAGAATTATCATTGTGGCCTTTGTTTGCTGGATGAGGATGTCTTTAAATAAGAGCTTTGATCTTGGATATTTCTGTACAGTGAATTTGAATATCTCCTATTGTAACAGGTGACATGTTTTTTGTTTTTCTCCATGTGAAACTATGTTTGGTTGTTTTTTTGTTTCGCCACTTTTGACCTGCCCGCCATCTTTCTAGAAGGTGGACAGAAGCCGAAGTAGAACCTGAGAGAGCTCACTTATTCAAAGTTAGTCCCAGAAAGGCCTAAGTCAGGATTCAAACTGGCTGAGAGGGGATAGAGCGTACCACAAAACCACGCTATGAACGCGTGGAAGACGGACAGAAGTGGACCAGAGAAGCTTCACCGGTTTGGCCGCTTCGAACAGATCTTTTCCTGCACCTTTTTTATTCCATGAGAAAGTGCACCTGTTCCGTGTCCCCCGATGGCTGTGTGCTTACAACCAGCCTCCATACATTGCATCATCTCCTGTCCACAGTGGGCCATTAAACTCCATTATTATGCATTAAAAGGGAGTGTGCTGCATCCCTCTCTCTTTCTTTGTGGGTTTGTGTGTAAGTCACTCAATACCCAGTAAGACAGCCCCCCCCCACCAAAAAAAAAGCTTGTTAATTGACCTGACTGCCAGGACAATGACGTGTTATTATTTCAGTCATGTCCTAAAGTGAAATATCAATAGCAGTCAAAGAGACTAGATCTGACTTATTTGTATTGTCTTGTATTGTGGAATTGAAGCTTTGCTTGTTTTCAGTGCTAAATCTTAAAGAATGCTCGAAGAAAATATTCTTAGTTGTTCCAAATTTGCTCCCTTCTCTAAATCCTAGCATGGATTCTCCAGGAAAACAGACTTCATTTGCAGCAGCTACGAACGTTTCCAATGAGACTGGATGCCACAAAGCATAAAGAAATCATGTTAGTGAGACAGTTTCTTGAATGGGAGGATAAATAATCATCAGAATACACCACATGGTCCTTTTCCAAGGTCACCTCCAGCTCAGCATGCACAAAGGAAATCATGAGAGAGCATTTCAAAGATGAATGGCTGCCATATCACAATGGATGAATTACATGGGGGGGCAGTAAGACATGTGGCTCTGCTGCTCTGGGGTAGCCTTTATGACTGAAAATGCTAAATATGTTTGGCGGTAACAAAGGAAGTATTGATGATGAATATGAAACGCCTCCATTTGGCTGCGGCAGGGATGAATCGGGAGCATCATCACTGGGAACGCAGCAGAAGTTTGAAAGTGGAGAAGCTGAGTGTGTTTAGCACACTTTTAAAAGACATCAGGTGCTGCTCAGGAGCCGCAATGAAAAATGTCGATAATTAAAATCGAACAAACAAAAGGAAAACGTTTCGAGTACAGCTCCAGTCCAGTTATAGTACAGGAATCAATCACTTCAGATTTAATAAATCTAAAGAGCAGAGGGGAAAATGAATCCCTGGGGAAAAATGGCAAAATTGGAACATGTTTGAAATAGTAAGGAAGTTGTCTGTGCAAACACAAAAGGTCCATATTAGATTTATATGTTTAAAAACATTTAGTAGGAATAAGGAGTAATGTTCCTGACATCACTGTATGTGCCACCACAGCTCAGTGCTCATTTTCATTGGTCACGGAATATTCTCCTTTCATGTACCGGTTCAACTATAAATTCAAACCACTCACCAGAAAAATGCACACTGATGTGAAAGAAACCAACAAGTGTAGGGGCGCTTTTGTGATGATAAACCAAAAATACTTTATAGTTTCAAATGAAACATCCAACCACGGATAAAAAGCTGGCCCTTCTTTAGTGGTGTTGCAAGACTGGAATGAAATAAGGTCAACTGTGTGGAGCCAAATTAAGAAAGCTGGAAAAGGAGTTCATGTGAAAAATATTCTATGAATTGATAGTTCCTGTATGTGCTGGTTAGACTATTAAAGTTGGCAGTGCTATTTTTCCTCCCAGTTCTTTTTTTGTTTGTTTGTTTTAAATTACCAGAATGCGGTGAGTAAACGTGTTGGAGACAGGGCAGGGAATTTATCCGCGTTGGAACGGCGTCAAACACTGAGAAAGTACGGAGAAAGAATGCAAAGTTTGCAGTTTTTGACGCCCGTTGAAAGTATGCATCAGAGTCCTGAACTGAAAACCGATCAAGATTCCACTAACAAATCCTGCTGCCTTTGTAGTCCGAGAGCGGTAACAAATCTTCTTTTGTTCGCGAGGGATTTGACGGCTCTCCCACAGAAGCGGTTCCTGGTTCCGAGAGGGTTAAAAGCAAAATTCTTCATATGTAAATTTGGCTTCAGAGTGTAGTGATCGTACCCAGAGGCCTCCCAGGCAGCTCTCTCTGCCTAACAGCCGAGGCCAAGATGGGCAGGCACGGCTCCCCCCATTCATCTCTGTCAAGTTGAATAGAAAATTAACAAATCCCTTAATTAAAAGACCTCTCTGGACTCTCTGGTGTGTACGTGTGTCTAAGCATGCGCACGCAATGCACATGCCATCTGCACGGCTTCGCTGTGCAAGCTACAACAGCCTGGCAGAAGAGACACACGCACACACACACACATACACACACACACAAAGGCCCATCGCTGCCACAGACCCCTGCTATTCCTGCTGCATTAATCTCACAAACTGCATAATGTGGACTCGGGTTCATTCTGGGTCCCTGTACGTCTCCAGACGCAGAGCCGGGCGGGGGAATCAGTTGGGGCTTTGATCTCTGACCTCTGCCCTCTCTCTTGGGGATTTTAGACTGCATCCCTAACGGCCGTCCATCTGCACACGCAAACTAACCATGCACCCTCTGCCCCCCCCCCACCCAAAGATCACCAGCTCCGTGAGCCCCAGACGCGTGTCACAGTCCACGGCAGCAATAGCGAACGCTAAACAATCCAAGGTCAACTCCAAATTAGGAAGTGTCTTTCAGCTCTCTGAGTGCTTTGTCATGACCACCAGCTAACTGAATGCGACCTGCTATTACTTAGCCCAAATCTCCACCCTCCATGCTCTCCACGTCCTCTTGACATGGCTGAAGTGGAGCAGGCGTCAGCGTCCAGAACCGATGATTGTTTTTCTTTGATATCTTACGCCATTTCGATTGGGCACTGAAGCATGCCGACAGTTAGCTTAAGAAGAAGGAAAACAGCAGCTGCAATTAAACTGGTTAAACCTCTTATTGCAGATGCTCCAGAGTTTGGATTTATGAGTTTCTATCCATATCCCAAATCTATCATAATATTTTTCCATAATAACTGATGTATTTAACCGTTTTTTTTAAATATGAAAATCTATGACTGGTCACAGTTCACAATCCGATTTACCTCTCAAAGATTTGCACCTTTTTAGATATTTTTTTATTAACCTCAGGCATACAAAATGAATCACTGTCACAGTGAAAATGTTTTTGAATGTGTAGTCTTGGTTTAAAAATGTGACATTACATATATCATTCCCCCTAAATGATGGACGAAAAAATCAGCTGGTGTCAGTTCCTGTAGCTGAACTTGTCCCTTGAGAAGAAAAGGGAAAGAGAAGGACCCAACTCATGGGCCCCCAGATCAGAAACTTGTTTAACTCACCTAAATCTGCTGAGATTAGAGCTGGAAGTAGTCAAAGGGCTTAGACTGTATCGGTACAATGGGGCCGAGGGGATTAGAGGTAGATTCACTGAGCTCCTGTGATGCCCTTCATTTCTGGGGGTCCACAGCCAGAGCACCTTTGTTGGGTTAACTAACGACTCTTCCCATGAACGCAGTAACAGGCCAATCCCTTTTTAATGATGCAGGGAAAATTCCATCGGCCCTGATTACCACAATGCTTTTGAGAGCCGCCATTGTCCCACACACCATGTCGAGCTTTTAAACTGTGCAGCCAGGCGAGCGGACTGCGAGGCATTTTCAAGTCCACTTGCGGCATTCCGGCCCGGTAGAAATAACCTCGGATAAAACAATGCTGATATGTGCATCTTTTTTATAGTCGGAGCATAATGCTCACAGTAGCACTCCCAGGGATTTAACTGCCTCTGCGGCCACCCATGCCTGAAATATATACAGTAGTATAGAACTTAATGGGTTGCCACGTAGCACTTATTTGGCAAATGTGCATCTTAAAGGTAAAAGGTTTAACAGTAGCTTCTACATCATTTTAGTGCAATTCTGTAGTTTCAGCGCTGTAAAATGACACATTGAGTTTGTCCAGAACTGAATCCAATGGAAAAACATGCTCAGATAACTGGCTGACTTCCATCTTTTTTTTTTTATCCCTTGTCACACACCCAACATTCTGATGTTGCAGATCTAAGGGGTTCAGACAGTGGATCGAGTTGGATTTTTATTACATCTGGCTTGGCATCCCAGTCTTTCTCAGTTTTAAAGGTACTGCGGAATAGCCAGGCAATTACCTTCTCAAAGAATAGTCTCCTTTCCTTTTTCCTCTGATTTTCCCACAGTCAAGAAGTAAAGTCAAGTTGCTTGTTAAACACTAATTCTTGCACGCTTGTGACCTAAAATCTCATGGGAAATATTCTAAACTTTGAACTATTTTGCTTAATTGTTGTCCACTGGCAAACTCCTGTTCCAGTGTTATGTTCACTATCAGTGCTATTGTTT